GATGAATTCTCTTCCATTTAGCTGTCAGTAGAATGCCAGAGGCGACCGCTCCAATTATCATTATAAACCCGTCTTCATGCTCAGGTTATGGCAATTATTTTATGTCATGGGGTCCGGCACGAGAATAGAATCCGGTGGGCGGTCAATTTTTTGTTTCTTGTACAGATTCATGAATAACAGCCCCGCGCGTCTCGAAGGGGGAGGAAAGACAAAAATGAATCGCCAAGCGCACAGTTGGCGGCAGCGGCTACAGAAAGAGAAGTTTATCTTCTGCACAACGCTGGGGCCGCCTCGATGTTCCACTTTCCTACCTCCCGCCCTCCTCTTCCGTCAATATATAGATTATATTACTCACTCCTGCTGTTTGAACTGGGGGCGTACACAAGCGTGCCCGTACACAGGCGTGCCCGTACACAGGGGGGTGTACTGTTGGGTGTTGAGGGGGGGGGGGGCAGGGAAAAGGTTTCAGATAAATTATGACTTGTGAATAACTTGATTGTTATGTGGGAATAGTGTTATGACAAGTGTGGTAGGGATGAGTGTGCCACACCCACCTCCCCATTATACACTGGGGGACGGTGGCCCTGAGGCATCTCTGGCGGTGGCCCCAGGGGGGAGGATCGTCTGAAGGTGGCCCCAGGGGAGATGGCCACCCCGGACACCTGGTTCTCCGGCCAGGTACACGATAACCAGCTTACCTTCCGAGAGACGCCAGGAGCTCTGGTAATACTCGAGAAGAGGGCGGGTGTGTAAGTTATGTAAGACTTATCTCCCTCTAAGACTCCTCTTCATTCAAGGCTGAGCTGAGGAATGAAACAAAAAGTCTTGGGAGCTTTCAGAAGGATACGTCAGTGTCTGTTGAATGCAAGTAGTTGAAAGGAAGTTACTTATAAAGAAATAATGTACATGTCCGTTGAGCCTTCAAGTCCACCATGAAGGTTGAGTGGTACTGTTGAGAACCGGAATTTAGGGAGAGTTGCAAGGAGCGCTATGTTGCAGGAGTTTGTGGGGTGTGGGGTGTGGGGGAGAGGCAAGCAGTAGGCCGGGTTCTCTCCCCTCCCCTGATTCAGCAGGTCAGCAGGAGCGCCTTCCAGTGTGCTTCCCGTTTTGCCGGTCACTTAGGTGGTTGGGCGCGGCCGGCCTCCCTGCCAGGACATCCTCAGTTAGTCCTGCAATTGATCGCGAGCTGCAGCCGCCACGCGAGACTCACTCTTGGTGCGACCGGCCGCAAGGGCGGAGGGCGCCGCGCGAGCCCCCAGGTAGTGGCCATCCTCCTCACTGGTCAACGGAAGCACCCCCCTTCCCCCCATCCATCCTCACCCCTCCACCACGAGCGCACACGCACAACACTCATTCATATTTCTTGTGTCTGGGGAGGCATGTTCTTTGTCAAGACAAGGCTGCAAGGTTGAGTTTATCAAAGTGTCGCCACGTATCTTATCAGTATTTTAGAAAACGGCCCCCTACAGAAATCTGTCACTTCGTCTAGACTGTTTCCGACATCCGCGAGTGAGGTTCCCAGTGGATATCCTGCAGTTCCTGTGTGTGATGGAGCGGCCTCCCGGGGCTTGTTGTGTTCATTGCTAGTGCTCAAAAGTTACGGGCGTTCCCTAGCTGTTTCACAGTGTTAATACGGGGATAATACCTGCGGTTGGGGGCAAGCCTTGTGGGGAATTGTGATCTGTTTCTTGACTCTGTGTAGTGAGAGTGCTGTTGGTGCTTGTCCCTTGCCAGGCACGACTTCCTCGTAGCACGGCCCTGGCAAGGCAGCACGTGGCACGGCCCTGGCCGTTAACCTCAAGAGCCCATCGAAGAGGGACCGCTGACACGCACAGCGACACGTGTCTCCTGATAGACACCCACAGAGGCTGTCGCAGGAGGGGCCGGTGCCACGCACATTGGCCCGGGGGCTCCTGATAGACACCCACAGAGGCTGTCGCAGGAGGGGCCGGTGCCACGCACATTGGCCCGGGGGCTCCTGGTAGACACCCACAGAGGCTGTCGCAGGAGGGGCCGGTGCCACGCACATTGGCCCGGGGGCTCCTGGTAGACACCCACAGAGGCTGTCGCAGGAGGGGCCGGTGCCACGCACATTGGCCCGGGGGGCTCCTGGTAGACACCCACTTGTCTTCCGCTTCACAGCCGGCGGGACCTCCACCTCGGCCAGATAGCACGGAATATTGAGCTATCCCTCAGCCGATCTCCAGATCATATGTATCGTTATTTAGTGAAGTGTAGGAATTTTCAAACGAATTTATTGTTGTATTATCCCGCTTTGAAGAATTGATTGCACCATACAGCTGCAACTTTATTATAAATTTTGCAATAGTGTTTGAGAATGTTATGTATATTCTCTGAAGTGCGAGTGGTACTTTGCTTCTTGTGAAAACGTGTTAGCCAAAATATATATTCCATTATATTCCTGAAATACTCGGTAGCCTAATGCGCTAGAGAACATTATATTAGCACAAACGAGAGTTCGAGTCCAGGTTAGGGCTCGATAATGTGAGCCACAATACCTTGATGACATTGACACTGAAGTCCAGTAGTAATTGGTTATCTGAATTTAAATTCACTTACATATGTATTTTTCTTTGAAAAAAAAAATCATATGGCTTAGGCTGTAAAGCTTAGCTGTGACGAGAGGAGTTCAACCCCCTACAGTGTTGTCTACTCTGTTCCTTGCAAGATGTTATGTGTGTGTGATAAAGAGTCTGCAATCTCAGTTATGACTGTGCTTTGAACACAATTTATTACATAGAGGTGTGTAAAGAAATTGATGCGAGAGTTTTTGCTATCTGAGGTTGTCCTTTCTGGAATACTCAACGATATCCTCTTGTTGTAATACTTGATGTTATCGTCCTGTTATCATCGCTTTTTCCAGTGATGTCCTCATGTTATCCTCTTGATATCCAGTGATATCGTTCCGTTAGTTAACGATCACGAAACTGTAATATGCACGCATTAGCGGCTAGTGTATCAATGGACAATTTTAGCACTCCTAGAGCGACGGTCTCGCTTCATGCAGGTCGGCGTTCAATCCCCGACCGTCCAACCGTTCCGTTGGTGACCGTTGGGCACCATTCCTTACTGACTGGGAAGGGGGAGGGGGGGTCAGGATAAGGATTTGGAATGGGACGGGATGGAGGGGGGTTCCCATCCCAAATCCTTATCCTGACTCCTTCCCAGTGCTATATAGTCGTAATGGCTTGGCGATTTCGACCTGATTTCGACCTTTTCGTTATTTTGAACGTTTGTGTACATGTACAAGCTACCTCGTTCCTGAGTGGAACAAGGAGCGAAGCACCAGGAACGCCCAGCCTCCGTTCCTAGTACTTGGGGAGCCAGGAGCAGCACGGAGCAGCAGTGGTGCTGCTCCTGGCTCCCTGGAAAGGAAAAACTCCTTTCGCAAAAGGAGTTTTTCCGCTGTCTTTTCGTTGGATTTTTTCTGTGAAAGTAATTTTCAGAACAAAAAAGAAAAGTGATACAAATAATATAAAAAAGTAGCATAGATTTTATTCATTGGTGTAAAGTATATAGAGTATACGCTGTTTATTTGGTAAACAAAAGTATGTGAAATCGACGTTTAAAGTCTTGCATGGTTTTGTGACTATTGAGATGATGGGAAACTATTTATGCCGTTTGGAAGCGATGCATAACAAAAGCACCCTGCTTTTGTTACTGCTTTTTCTTTTGTTGTGTTTGTTAAATAGTCCAAGACTTGAGGGGCTGTTGACCAGACCACACACTAGAAGGTGAAGGGACGACGACGTTTCGCTCCGTCCTGAACAACTTACTTTAACTCACTTTACTTTAACTTCCTGGTCAACTTACTTTAACTCACTTTACTTTAACTTCCTGAACAACTTACTTTAGCCAGGTTATTGTGACTCATCGCCTGCTTGAGGGGCTGTGTTCTAGTGTGGGCGTAGCCTCGGGTGGGCGTGTCCTTGAGTGGGCGTGTCCTCAGGTGGGAGATGTACTTGGGTGGGCGTGCCCAAAGGTGGGCGTGCCTATGGGTGGGCATGGGGTAAACTTATTCTAGTATGAATGGCTCCTTGGCCTACCAAGTTATGCCACAACTTACTTAATCTTGAACTTATTTTTGTGTTTCATATAAGGTGTAAAATCTGTGACATTATAGACAGTTGTCTACACCTAAGATGGCCTCCCTCTAGTTACTTGTGTCTAATGTTTAGATTCAGCTACTCAGAACAAAAGTTCCAAGTAGCACGGGCTATGGTGAGCCCGTAGTGGACTTACCTGGCACAGGAGCGGGGCAAGTAGCACGGGCTATGGTGAGCCCGTAGTGGACTTACCTGGCACAGGAGCGGGGCAAGTAGCACGGGCTATGGTGAGCCCGTAGTAGACTTACCTGGCACAGGAGCGGGGCAAGTAGCACGGGCTATGGTGAGCCCGTAGTGGACATACCTGGCACAGGAGCGGGGCAAGTAGCACGGGCTATGGTGAGCCCGTAGTGGACTTACCTGGCACAGGAGCGGGGGCAAGTAGCACGGGCTATGGTGAGCCCGTAGTGGACTTACCTGGCACAGGAGCGGGGCAAGTAGCACTGGCTATGGTGAGCCCGTAGTGGACATACCTGGCACAGGAGCGGGGCAAGTAGCACGGGCTATGGTGAGCCCGTAGTGGACTTACCTGGCACAGGAGCGGGGCAAGTAGCACGGGCTATGGTGAGCCCGTAGTGGACTTACCTGGCACAGGAGCGGGGCAAGTAGCACGGGCTATGGTGAGCCCGTAGTGGACATACCTGGCACAGGAGCGGGGCAAGTAGCACGGGCTATGGTGAGCCCGTAGTGGACTTACCTGGCACAGGAGCGGGGCAAGTAGCACGGGCTATGGTGAGCCCGTAGTGGACTTACCTGGCACAGGAGCGGGGCAAGTAGCACGGGCTATGGTGAGCCCGTAGTGGACTTACCTGGCACAGGAGCCGGGCTGTGTGTTCTAATGTCATTTAACGATACCTTTATTTTTCTCAACAGTGACCCCGGGGCTTGCAGGTCTCTCCCTGGGGTCCAGCACCCCGTCTTCCCTGCTGCCCGGGGGGATGGGGGCCAGGGACACCCTCAACAAGCCCCAGCTGGACTATTCCCGCTATGTCAAGCCCTACAGCTCGGCCCTGGAGTGCGGACACCTCCCCTGCAGGGAACACAATCTCAGGTGAGCCCCCAGAAGCTATGGACTTGGGCCAAGATTCACGAAGCAGTTACGCAAGCACTTACGAACTGTGCTTGCGTAACTGCTTCGTGAATCTGGCCCCCAGGTCTTAGCAGGAAAGAAATTAGTATATATTGTCAAGTACACTATTGTGGGAATAAATATTTTATTCGCTTGGTCACCAGTAGACTCGAACCGCCGTCCCCCATAGGCGTGAGGTGGAAGCTCTACTGTGAGATTAGCTGTAAGACGAATAGAGAAGTTAGTTACTTGGAACATACCTGGAGAGTTGTTGTTATAGATTCAGCTACTCAGAACAAGTTCCAAGTAGCACGGGCTATGGTGAGCCCGTAGTAGACTTACCTGTCCCGAACTCGACCTGAGGCCAGTTAATGGGGGATTATGTTAATTTTATGTGATTCCCACTTGGAGTGGTCGGTGCAGCGACGGTCTCACTTCGTGCAGGTCGGCGTTCGATCCCCGATGGGCCAAGTAGATGGGCACCATTCCTTCCCCCTGTTCTATCCCCTATCCTTACCATCATATCTCTCCCAAGTGCAATATAGTCGTACCGACTTAGCACCTTATCCTCAGAGTCTTCAATCTTAGTATTTAGGATGGAAAACTAGGTCTAGTATTTAGGTCTCATATTTAGGTCTAGTATTACGGTCTAGTATTTAACATTTATCCCAAAAGATATGATATTTATTCCCTGATAAAATACAAAAAACGGTTTCAATTATCAATCTTATCACTGAGGAGCATTCTAAGTGCCATTGTCTTTTAAATATGGTTGCAAAAATGCCAAATAGAAACACAGCAGTAGTAATTTATAACCACTTTGCGTCTCTTTGACACGACAGAGAACACTTCCACTGCCTCGAGTGCAACTCGAAGGTGTTCAGCAAGAAGGAGGAGATGATCCGACACTTCAAGTGGCACAAGAAGAGGGACGAGAGCCTCCAGCATGGCTTCATGCGCTACTCCCCCTCCGACGACTGCTCCGACCGCTTCAACAACTGCTCCCACAACCGGAAGCAGACGCATTACCACTGTCTCAAGGTAGGTCCTTACGCAGTCTTGCATCCCCCCGGGAGGAATAGCCTCTATCACCTGATAAAAAGTATGCACCCACCTACGTCATCGCTAACATTCAAAACGACCCTAACCTGACCTGTGTTAATCCTGTACTCTCTGAAACTGTAAGTGGTGTTACTGTGGTATGCCTTCTGCAGGAGGGCTGCGACAAGGTGTACATCAGCACGTCGGACGTCCAGATGCATGCTAACTACCACCGCAAGGACTCGGCCATCATGCAGGAAGGGTTCCAGAGGTTCCGCGCCTCGGAGGACTGTGGCCAGCCAGCTTGTTCGTTCAACGGTCAGCGCACCACTCACTTCCACTGTATGAGGAGCGCCTGCAACTACACCTTCAAGAACAAGGCTGACATGGGTAAGATGCAGGCCTCTGTCTTTCTCTTAACATAGTACATAAGAATAAAGGTAACTGCAGAAGACCTGGTGACAATGACCGACTTGAGAATGGTCTAGGACGGACCGAAACGTCGTCGTCCCTTCACTTTCTAGTGTGTGGTTTGGTCAACATATTTCTGCTACGTTATTGTGACTCCTCGTCTGTAGAAGGCCTATTGGCCCATACGAGGCAACTCCTATTTATAACCACCCATAACACCCATTTCAGACAACCATTTCTATTCTACAGTACTTTTCTAACATTTGAATAACAATACAAACTTCAGTGTATTTTTCACTTGCTTCGGTGCATAATGAAGTCACCAAAAAACTAGGTTTATAATTAATTTTCCTATTCCTCTTTCACTGTTCGTCTCTTTGTATCTCTCCCTTTGTATACCAAATTTACCGGAATATACATTTTCTGTGTGGTAAAGCAGCACAAGATGAGAGACATTTCCTTGCCTTACAGAGAAGCACAAGACATACCATATCAAAGATGAGCAGCTGACCAAGGATGGCTTCAAGAAGTTCATGAAGCAGGAGGAGTGTCCGTACGAGGGGTGCAAATTCTCTCGCGTTGTCAACCACATCCATTGCATCCGGCCTGAGTGCAACTACGTCCTCCATTCATCCGGCCAGATATTCGCTCACAAGGTGCACTTCAACACTCTGCTCTTACACCTGGTAACAATGCCGATAGTTAACTGTTTGCTTTACCAAAGAGCTCTCTGTGCTTTCTTGCGGTTTACTCACTGCGCTTATCCTTGCTATATCTTCACATACTATCGTGCTCGTATTAAATTGTGCACGTGACAAGTTTGTTTATTTTGTACAGAGGAAGCACGAGCGCCAGGACCACGAACGAGCCTACCGCAAGTACAAACTGGCACAAACCATGCTGGGTGTGCCAGAGGGCCACCCTGCCCTCACCCCCCTCCTGCACGAGGCGCTGCGCCCCCTTGGGACTCTAGGAGGACACATGATGAACCCGCTGATGGGTCCTCTTGGTGGGCCCTTGGGAGGTCCTATGTGTCCAGGTGACCAAAGAAGTGAGGACTCCTGTTCTCCTCTAGGGCCTGCTGCCACTTCCGTCACCCCAGGTTCCTTACCCCCGGGACTTCAAAGACCCCCTGGGTTACTAATGGGTGGGTTCCCGCCTCCTGGACTGGGCGAGTCTCAGCACCCATTAGCCCGCCTCCTGGGTGTGGCGCCCCCAGCAGCTCACGGTCTTTTCCCCGGTGGGTCGGCCACCAGTTCAGCCTCCACCCCAGCGTCGTCTTCGTCAGGACCGGCTTCCCCGGTGGACCTGAGCGTCAGTATGGGCGGGAGTGAAGACCGTGACTGGGAGCGTTGGGTGCGGTGCCACGGGCGGGATGAGCCGTGTCACAATGGCTGTGACTTGGCGGGTATGGACCACTGGCACTGTGACGAGTGTGAGGCAGTGTTCCGTGGACGGGAGAGCGCCCGTGACCATGGCCGTGTCCATGAACAACAAACAGTGATTACGGAGGACCACTACACCAAGGTGACAACCACGGAGGAGCCTCGTCCCTGCCCCCCAGACTGTCCCATCCAAGACCATGCTGACCACTTCCACTGTAACTGGGTGAGTCCACTCTGCTCTTATGATGACTGTCACAGGTGGCACTGACGCCTCACGGTGCCGCCACATCACTGCATGCCAAAAGCAAAACCTCTGTACACTCTGATATAATTTTAAATGCCAAGCTTCCTAGACCATGGCATAATTAGTTATGCTTTGAGTATGTTTCCGGGTAACAGATCTGCTTAGAATTTTCATCAATTTTTGCCTAGTGGCTAGAAATGTCTAGAGGTTTTTAGCTAGTACTGAATAGTGGTTGACCGGCATTTGAACACAGCACTCACGGCTATATTCCTTTGTATATATCTTCCTAACAAAGTATTGGAACTAACATCTTCAAAGTCACAAAGAACACATTCTAATTCCCTGTTTAGCTATTAGGATATCTACATAAATTAGAGGAATAGCATGACTGTTAATTAGTCAGATCCACGAAGGCAAACTTTCCGACTTGGGTAAAGTTATCATTTTTAAGCTGAGAAGCGTTTTGTATTATAGTTTAAATTATTTAGTGTGAAACTAAACAGTAATCCCATGCTTATATTTATTCGCTTGCTATGTTGTTAGCGTGTTGATGGTTTTACTAGTGAATTAATTTCTATGGTATTTGTGTCATAACTCATGAAGTTAACCAATTTAGTGTTTTGTAAATGCTGTGTGGTGTGTGTGTGTGTGTGTGTGCGTGTGTACTAACTGTGCGTGGTGACGCATGTACGCACAGGAGGCGTGTGGCGAGGCCGTCCTGGTGTCGGGGGACAAGCCCTTCCGTCGCCTGGAGCACTTCCAGATGCACGACTACGCCCGCCGCCTGGCACTAGCGACCTCCCCAGGTGCCGGAGGGCCAGTAGGCGTCGCTGCGGTCACCTCCGTCGACGCCATGTTTAAGCGTAAGCGCGGACGGCCTCCGAAGAACAGAGTTATCGAGGTGCGTCTTGCGGCCCTCTTTACAGTTTACTTCGAACTCAGCTCTTCTCTTTTATCAAAGTTACCCCCACTTCAATTCAGCTATTTTCTTTAATATCATATTTAAATGATAATATTTATCTTGAAGTTATCCCTTAAACTCCGCTGTCCTGTTAAGTTTGTTTTCCTTGAACTTGTCGTACTTTCAAACTTACCTCGTAAACTCTGCTATTTTGTTATATTTGTCAACTTAAAAAAAAAAAAAACTTTACTGTTCTGTGAAAAGTTCTCCTTTCAACTATTCTATTTTCTCAGAATCACCACCAGAAGTTCAATTTTAACAGTATTAATGTTATCCATTTAAAGATTGTTCTTCAATCACTACCCTTTTAAACATTGTTCTTATCCTAAAGTTAATTGCTTTAATTCTGCTGGGGCCAGATTCACGAAGTAGTTACGCAAGTACTCACGAACCTGTACATCTTTTCTCAATCTTTGGCGGCTTTGTTTACAATTATTAAACAGTTAATGAGCTCCGAAGCACCAGGAGGCTGTTTATAACAATAACAACAGTTGATTGGCAAGTTTTCATGCTTGTAAACTGTTTAATAAATGTAACCAAAGCCGTCAAAGATTGAGGAAAGATGTACACGTTCGTAAGTGCTTGCGTAACAGCTTCGTGAATCTGGCCCCAGGTCTTTAAACAGTGATAGTTCTCTGTACAGTTACCTCAGTGTGGCTGTATAATACATGATTCGCCAATTGGTGCTAAAACAAACAAAACAAGTGCATTGCATTCTATTTCAAAGTATATTTGAAGGATTAAAAAAAAAAGCACATTATCTTACGAAGTTATATTACATAAATCCAAAACACTTATATTTATTTATTTACTGTATAGTCAAATATTGTCAAAAAATATATATACAGTATTTGATTTTTTCTTCCGTTACTTTCAGGTGTGGAATGATTACGTAAGTTAGATCAGAATTTGTTTTGCTAACTGACTGACACACACACACACACACACACACACACACACACACACACACACACACACACACACACACACACACACACACACACACACACACACACACACACAGCTCACTAATGCCTTACTCATCCCCCCTTCAACTTATTTGTTGCCTGTTAACGCTTTACCGTTTGTTGCCTGTTAATGCTTTACCGTTTGTTGCCTGTTGACTGTTAAACGGTCATGTCTCCACTCTGCAAATAAATCTCCGCCAGCTTAAGCATCGTTCACAGCAAGTCAAAAACGAAAGTTTAATTCCCAGAGGCTCTATTAGCATCCTGTAGGCCCTGTTAATTAAAACAAAAAATACAACATGCAAGTGCTTTATTTTACACGATAATCAGATGTGATTTATTATATTCAACGCTTGCTTTATTTAATTGTAATCCTGTAGACCACACACCACTCCATCCTTTTTTTTGTATCTTTTTTTATTGCTCTATTTGTTTGCAATAATTACTACAATTAAAAAATACATGTAATACAAATAGATTGATTGCACGGTGTTCTAAATGCATTGCTGTATACTCACGCTTGTGCACACACAGTACCAGTTGATTAACAGTTGAGAGGTGAGACCGAAGAGCCAAAGTTTAACCGCCCGCAAGCACAACTAGGTGAGTGCAATAAGCACATAATGCGCACACACGCAAACACACACACACACACACACCTGGTGGATAGCGCGCAGGACTCATAATTCTGTGGCGCGGGTTCGATTCCCGCACGAGGCAGAAACAAATGGGCAAAGTTTCTTTCGCCCTGAATGCCCCTGTTACCTAGCAGTAAATAGGTACCTTGGAGTTAGTCAGCTGTCACGGGCTGCTTCCTGGAGTGTGTGTGTGGTGGTGTGGAAAAAAAAAGAGTAGTTAGTAAACAGTTGATTGACAGTTGAGAGGCGGGCCGAAAGAGCAAAGCTCAACCCCCGCAAACACAACTAGGTGAATACACACACACACACACACACACACACACACACACACACACACACACACACACACACACACACACACACACACACACACACACAGACGTAGAGCCTGATAGGCTCAGGAATCTGTACACCTGTTGATTGACGGTTGAGAGGCGGGACCAAAGAGCCAGAGCTCAACCCCCGCAAACACAACTAGGTGAGTACAACTAGGTGAGTACACACACACACACACACACACACACACAGTGAAAGGCTGGGAGTGAAAGGGAAGGTACTCCATTGGATAAAAGAGTACCTAAGCAACATAAGACAATGAGTCACTGTGAGGGGTGAGGTCTCAGATTTGGCGAGACGTTACAAGTGGAGTCCCGCATCGGTCAGTCCTTGGACCTATACTGTTTCTGATATATGTAAATGATCTACCAGAAGGTATAGAGTCATTCCTCATTGTTTGATAGGGTAGATAAAGACAGTCTATTTAACACAAGGGGAACACGTACAAGGGGACACAGGTGGAAACTGAGTGCCCGAATGAGCCACAGAGATATTAGAAAGAACTTTTTTAGTGTCAGAGTGGTGGACAAATGGAATGCATTAGGAAGAGATGTGGTGGAGGCTGACTCCATACACAGTTTCAAGTGTAGATATGATAGAGCCCGATAGGCTCAGGAATCTGTACACCTGTTGATTGACGGGACCAAAGAGCCAGAGCTCAACCCCCGCAAACACAACTAGGTGAGTACAACTAGGTGAGTACACACACACACACACACACACACACACACACACACATAAGGATAGGGGCAGAAGAATTCACTACAAATGACAAGGAAGTGTGTGAGGAACTGAATAAGAAATTTCAGGAGGTCTTCACCTTAGAGCAAGGAGAAATTCCTGAGATAAGAGAGGGAATAGTTAACCAGGAACCACTAAAAGAGTTTGAGATTACCAGAGGGGAAGTAAGGAAGTGTTTACTAAAGTTGGACGTGACAAAGGCTATAGGCCCAGATAGAATCTCCCTTTGGATACTAAAGGAAGGAACAGAAGAACTGTGCCTGCCATTCTCCATAGTGTATAACAAATCACTGGCAACACGGGAACTGCCAGAAATTTGGAAAGCAGCTAATGTAGTCCCGATATACAAGGGGATAGACAGGAGGCACTGAACTACAGGCCAGTGTCCCTAACCTGCATACCATGCAAGCTGATGGAGAAGATTGTGCAAAGAAAGCTAGTGAAACATCTGGAGCAAAAGAACTTTGTATCACAGCATCAACATGGGTTCAGGGATGGCAAGTCTTGCCTCACAGGGTTACTTGAATTCTATGACCAGGCAACAAAAATCAGGCAAGAGAGGGGTGGGCAGACTGCATATTTTGGGATTGCCAGAAAGCCTTTGATACAGTACCACACAAGAGGTTAGTAAAAAAGCTGGAGATGCAGGCTGGAGTGAAAGGGAAGGTACTCCATTGGATAAAAGAGTACCTAAGCAACAGAAGACAATGAGTCACTGTGAGGGGTGAGGTCTCAGATTTGGCGAGACGTTACAAGTGGAGTCCCGCATGGGTCAGTCCTTGGACCTATACTGTTTCTGATATATGTAAATGATCTGCCAGAAGGTATAGAGTCATTCCTCATTGTTTGCTGATGATGCAAAAATTATGAGGAGGATTAAGAAGGAGGAAGTCAGTATGAGGCTATAAGATGACCTAGACTGAATGAATGTTCCAACAAACGGCTACTAAAGTTCAACCCGAGTAAATGTAGAGTAATGAAACTAGGCAGTAGAAACAGGAGGCTAGACACACGATACCGAAAGGGAGATACAATCCTTCACGAAATGGACAGAGAGTTATCTAGGAGTTGATATCACACCAAACTTGTCTCCTGACGCCCACATAAAAAGAATAACATCTGTGGCATATGCAAGGCTGGATAACATCAGAACTGCCTTCAGAACCTGTGTAAGGAATCATTCAGAACCTTGTATACCACATATGTAAGACCAATCCTGGAGTATGCAGTCCCAGCATGGAGCCCATACCTTGTCAAGCACAGGGCTAAGCTAGAAAAAGTTCAGAGGTATGCCACTAGGCTAGTCCCAAAACTAAGGGGCATGAGTTACGAGGAAAGGCTGCATGAAATGCACCTCACGACACTGGAAGACAAAAGTAAGGGGAGACATGATCACTACCTACAAAATTTTCAGAGGAATTGACAGGGAGGATAAAGACAAACTGTTTAATACAGTTTATCGAGGGGTATGAGAAGAAGGGGGACACAGGTGGAGACTGAGTACCCAAATGAGCCACAGGAACGTTAGAAAGAACTTTTTCAGTGTCGGAGTAGTTAACAGGTGGAATGCATTAGGCAGTGATGTGGTGGAGGCTGACTCGATACACAGTGTTTCAAATGTAGATATGATAGAGCCCAGTAGGCTCAGGAATCTATACACCAGTTGATTGACAGTTGAGAGGTGGGACCAAAGAGCCAGAGCTCAACCCCCGCAAGCACAAGTAGGTGAGTACAACTAGGTGAGTACACACACACACACACACACACACACACACACACACACACACACACACACACACACACACACACACACACACACACACACACACACACACACAGAGGATGATAGTAGGAGGCTACAAGATGACCTGGATAGACTGAGTGAATGGTCCAACAAATGGCTGTTGAAGTTCAACCCGAGTAAATGCAAAGTAATGAAACTAGGCAGTGGAAACAGGAGGCCAGGCACAGGATACAGAATAGGAGATGAAGTACTTAATGAAACAGACAGAGAGAAAGATCTAGGAGTTGATATCACACCAAACCTGTCTCCTGAAGCCCACATAAAGAGAATAACGTCTGCGGCATATGCGAGGCTGGCTAACATCAGAACGGCGTTCAGGAACCTGTGTAAGGAATCATTCAGAATCTTGTACACCACATATGTAAGACCAATCCTGGAGTATGCGGCCCCAGCATGGAGCCCGTACCTTGTCAAGCACAAGACGAAGCTGGAAAAAGTCCAAAGGTATGCTACTAGACTAGTCCCAGAACTAAGAGGCATGAGTTATGAGGAAAGGCTGCGGGAAATGCACCTCACGACACTGGAAGACAGAAGAGTAAGGGGGGACATGATCACAACCTACAAAATCCTCAGGGGAATCGACCGGGTAAACAAGGACGAACTTTTCAACACTGGTGGGACGCGAACAAGGGGACACAGGTGGAAGCTGAGTACCCAAATGAGCCACAGAGACGTTAGAAAGAACTTTTTCAGTGTCAGAGTAGTTAGCAAATGGAATGCATTAGGAAGTGATGTGGTGGAGGCCGACTCCATTCACAGTTTCAAATGTAGATATGATAGAGCCCAATAGGCTCAGGAATCTGTACACCAGTTGATTGACGGTTGAGAGGCGGGACCAAAGAGCCAGAGCTCAACCCCCGCAAGCACAATTAGGTGAGTACACACACACACACACACACACACACACACACACACACACACACACACACACACACTCGCAAGCCAAAGAGCCAAAGCTCATCCCCTGCAGATGAGCAGCCAGATGATAATTATCTTTTCAAAAAGTTATGTCATTTTTGTTCTTTGTTAGTGCTTATTTTCAGTGTAAATTATGCTCAAATTATTGCAAGTATCAAAAGTTATAAGTAAGGAATTTATACATAACTAAAACTGACTCCTCACCCTACATTAAACTCACTCTCTCTCTCTCTCTCTTTTCTTCTTTCCTTATTTCCTTTTCACGTCTCCTTACCACACACACACACATGTGTGTGAGTGTGTGTATGCACCGTAATAGGCGAGTATACACATTCCACAGAGTCCCACATACGAGGTTGTTCTGGAAACGGAAACATACTGGAAGAGTGACAGGAAGGCTTCTAACATGGATCAAACATTTCCTAGCATAAAAAATGCGAGCAGTATTTAGAGGCAATGTATCTGTGTGGAGAATGTCACGAGTGGAGTACTACAGGATTCAGTTCTTGCACCAGTGATGTTCATGGTCTACATATACAATCTACCAGAAGGAATACAGAACTATATGAACATGTTTGCTGATGATGCTAGGATACTGAGGAAGATAAGAAACTTTGACAATTGTCAGGTCCTTGAAGAAGACCTGAACAAAATAAGTACATGGAGCAACACTTGGCAGACAGTAGCTCCCACTCTGTGTCTGCTACACACCACAGTGTGTAGTAGTTAATAAATAACATAGTAGTTAATTAATGGAATGCATTAGGAAGTGAAGTGGTGGAGGCAGACTCCATACACAGTTTCAAGTGTAGATATGATTGAGCCCAATAGACTCAGGATCCTGTACACCAGTTGATTGGCGGTTGAGCGGCTGGACCAAAGAGCTGAAGCTCAACCCCCGCAAGCACAACTAGGTGAGTACAGTTTCCTACCGTCCTGCAATAACTACCAGCAGACAGTGTCTCCCACTCTGCGTCTGCTACAGTAATAACCTCTTGTTACTATGACGGTGTGCTTGTTATATTACACATTTAACGCTGTTGTTGTAAGTTTCTTAACACAAAGAGAAGATAAGTGTAAACTTTGTTCAGGGGTACGAGAGTGTGTTGCCCTCTTAAGTTAATAGATCTTTTTTCAAAGGACACCGAAGTCTCTTCCTTGTTGTTCCAGCTAAACTGAGTAAATAGTCGGGTCTGATGTATTGGTTCTGTTTTACTGCACCGCCACACCTCAAGTATATCAAATACAAAAAATAGCAAGTGCAAACAGCCGTAAAAGCACCGGACCTGGTGAAAACCATAAAAAATAAACTTTTGTTGACGACCTCTGCGTTGTACGCTGTTGATTTAGTGTCTTGCCAGCTTGTTCTTCATTAAGTACCTGTGCATTTTTAGTATTTAAATTTGTATTGTCTCATATATGATAGAATGAGTCACCCTCCAAGTGTATAACTCATTCTTAATTGATATTACAGAGCGTGACACACAACCAAGTGTTTCTGTCCCGTCAAAACCGCCTTCCTTCCTTGCAGCATCCTGTGTCGAGCGCCCACGACTCCCCACAGGCAATCTTCGCCAGCTTCAAGTTGCCCAAGAGTTCGCCACCACCACATGGGCCCCTGGGGATGCCCATGGGGCCCCATCCGATGACACCCCTAGGCCACCTAGCCAACTTGGGCCGCGATTCCTCCCCGCCAAGACTATCCATCCCTTGCAGCACCAGCAGCAATTGCAGCACTAGCACCTGCAACACAGTTGGTCATCCCACCACTCCGGGTGGCCCACTGCCCATCCTACTGCCTCTCACTGGGCCCCTACTCTCAAACCCGCTCCAACCACAAGTAAGGAACAAAGCTGAGGATTTGTCTAACTGAATATACCCGAGGGCCACTATCTTACTAATGCCTTTGACTGTGACAGGAAGCTTACGGTTTGTCAAAGTTCCCCCACATTGTTCCCTGATGATTTTTCTATAAGATGTTTATTCAGGTAAAGGTACATACATTGAAAATGAGTTACAAACATAATGTTGGATTTATAGATAGAGCTTTTACACACAATGCCGAAGCCACTAATACGCACAGCATTTCGAGCAAAAATCTGGATTTTAAACTAAAATAATGTTTTTGACCTTAACACACTAGGTCAATCATGTGACCTAGTGTGTCATTTGTCATGGCGTTTATTCCTTGTGTATGAATAAAAGAACATGATATATTTCTTGATGTTTTGCACACATTTTCATCAGTGGTTTATAATAATAATAATAATAAAAATAATAATAATAGTATTTTATTTAGGGAAAAGTACATACATAGATGCAGAGTTACATACTGTTGGATTTATAGATAGAGCTAGTACATACAATACCTAAAGCCACTAATACGCATAGCATTTCGGGTTTCTTTTAACCGCACTGATTTGCTGCATTCAACACTGTTTAGAATTATTTGCAAAACTTACCTGAATTTACCTGAGGGCCACTGTCACTAGTGGCCTCGACGAGGACAGAAAGCCGGCGGCTTGTTGAAGGTCCACCCATTTGCCTTGATGATCTTTTCCAGCTGTACTTTTAAAAACTTGGGGGATTTATTCTTCCAAAAATTGAACTAATTTTCACCTATAGATTTTTTTATTGAAGATATCATCCATCTGGCCATTTTAGTTCCTTCTTCTTCTTGACATGTATTTTTATGCAAGTTCTATAATAACTTTTGTGATGTTATCCCATGATGTATCCTGCCTTGATCTATTAATTCCCTCCATGAGGCAATTCCTCTCTTATGGCATAATAGTCTCGTCAAAATTAATCGTCATATTCATCATCCGGAGCCTTTATATAGGGTTTTAGGATCTAATTCTATCTCAGGACGTGTACTGTATAATAACATTGTCAGAACTCCTTATTATTAATGTTAGCCCTCACAATTATAGTACGTTTTCTCTGATCATATTAAAGTATGTAGCATGGCCTACTAAAGTAAACGTAGTAAAATACTTATTTTCCTGAATTTACCCAAGGGTCTCTCTTTAGTGGCCTCAACAAGGACAAAAAACTAGTAGCTTCTTAAAAGCCCCCATTATTGTTCCTGATGATTTTTCCAATTTAATTTTGAAATGATGAATTGTCTTGGCATTTATGGTTACGGTAGGTAGGCAGTTCCATGGGTTTTTTTACCTGATTACCTGAGAGCCACCAACACAAGTGGACTCTACGAGGACAGGAAGCCGGTGGCTTGTTGAAGGTTCTGCCCTCCCACATTTCCTTGATGATCTTTTCCAGTTTGACTTTAAAATTTAACAAAGTTTATACCCCTATGAGTCTAGGGTTAGGAAGTTTAACAACATTTATAACCCTATAAGTCTAGGGTTAAAAAAGTTTAACAACATTTATAACCCTATGAGTCTAGGGTTAAGAAGTTTAACAAAGTTTATAACCCTATGAGTCTAGGGTTAAAACGTTTTAATAAAGTTTATAACCCTATGAGTGTAAAAGCATCTACTATTTTCAGTACTGCATTGTGGCTTGTCGAGTATGACCCTGTTACTCCTTGTTTGTGTTACATTTGACCTTTTGAAGATGTAACATAAACAAAATGTAATAAAAACAAGAAGCAACGATTTCAAGTTCTATAAACCACAACGTAGGACTGAAAACAGATGCTTTTACATCCATTAGGTTATGAACCCATAGAACTGCGTACCCGCTGAAGTCATAAATGCCAAAATGCTTTTAATTTTTAAAATCCAACTTGAGAAATTCATCTGGACAAATGGGAGAGCCTTTGACAAGCTGCCAGTTTCCTGTTCCCATTGAGGCCACTAGAGTGTTAGTGTCCCTCAGGTAAATTCAGATAAATATATTTTTTTATTACTGAAAGTAACAGCAAACTCAAATTGTTTTTAGAATGAAGACGTGTGATAATTTTGTTATATATGTTGTTAATTTGGTATTTCTTTGTTTCTCATTTAAATTCTTTAAGAGATATTCAGCATTTTAATGCATATTAAAAGTCAATCTACAATATTTATGACTTAATTTGCATGACATTTCTACTTTGGTTGAGTCTTACACTAGTAATATCAAATAGGAATGTTTCTTTTATGTTATCCATGGATTCTGTTACAGCCCTTTAGGAATAATTTTTTAATTATTCATATAACATTTATTCATTTAACATAATTATCTAAGTTTACCCGTGTTTACCTAAGAGCCACTAATACTAATGGCTTTGACAAGAACAGGACAGGAAGCTGGCAGCTTGTCGAAGGTCCCCCCCATTTGCCCAGATGATCTTTTCTAGCTGTATTTTTAAACCCAACAGTGGTTTGGCATTAACGGCTTAATGCCGTGAATGGGTACCTGGTTGTTAAGCGATTTGGGGAGTCATATTCCGGGGAAAAATTAAGATTAAGGTCCTGCCTGAAATGCTAGGTGTGCTAGTGACTTTACAAGAACATGAGAACTCTTTTTATATATAGAAATAAAAAAAAAGACAGGACAAAGCTCATCAAAACCTTTAAAATACTGAAAAATTTGTAGGATGTTGATTCAGACAATATCTTCAAAACATCAGATATTACAAAAACAAGAACCAATGGTTTCAAGCTCAACAAGCCACAATGTAAGACTGAAAACAGGAGATCCTTTTAACGCACAGGGTTATAAACCTGTGGAACCACTTACCATTGAAGCTGTAAAGGCCAAAATTCTTGTTAAATTTTAAAATCCAGCTGGAAAAAATCATAAGGGGAAATTAGAGGACCTTTGACAGGCCGCCAACTGCCTGCTGGGGCTACCATCTAGTAGTGGAGAGGTGTAACTAGTGATGGCAACCAGCTAACAAGTTTGTTACAGTATTAGTTGACAGGATTGCCAAAGTTTTTTCCAAACAGCAAACATTTATCTCCATCTTTGATCAGAGACAGACATAATCGGCATTTGCTAGGAGGAACACGGCAAGTGGATGATATTCCGGCAGAAATGGACATACTCTTTCTTCAATTTGTCATTATTTTTGGTGACATACAGAATCCTTGTTAAGATCAGTTGTGTTTTTCTGATAATTTCCCTGGTCTGTAGTAGGTTTCTTTGACTCATAAGAGTCTAGTGTGGCATGATAGGTGTGGAGCATACCATGTTGGGAACCCTCCCAGAAAACCTGTGTATCAAAATCAAAAATCAAAAAAATCAAAAATCAAATTTAAATCCTAAATTTAGTTTTATGTATGTATGTAATTTTATGTATGTATGTAATTTATTGTATGTACTACTGTAGCTCTTTCTAGAACTCCAACATTATGTTTGTAACTCAACTTGTATGTACAGTATGTACTTTTACGTGAATAAACATTTGATTTGATTTGATTCGATGTCAGCTTCTCATATAATGTCATGTGTTGTCCATATAAATTTCAAACTAAATTCACCTATTTTAGGTTATGCCCAAAATGCTTTCTATATGTATTTGCATTATATAATATACAATTACTTTGCCTACTAAGTAACCACATAATATGATATATTGTACAGTACAATACTATATGTTATAAATTAATTATTATTATTATTATTATTATTATTATTATTATTATTATTATTATTATTATTATTATTATTATTATTATTATTACTTGGAAATTTAAGTTAGTAACCCCACACCCTTGCTGTTCAGAACAGGAACCTCATAGCAATTTTCATTGCAGTCTAGGCATCAATGCACATTGCAATTTTCAGAAAAAATTCAGATTATAACTAACATTTAAAAAAAAATAGTACAGTTCTGCTAAATAATCCAAATAACCCGCACAACAACCTCGTTCATTGTCAGGCGGAGATAGTAGAGGGCTTCTACCCCTGGGGCGAAGGTGTATCCTGCCCCGACCAGCTGTGTCCACTGCTTGGACGACGCCACTACCACTGTGCCCACCCCCGCTGTCTCTACGTCACCGCCCACACAGATGTCCTCCCACTCCATGCCCACGACTTCCACGAGAATACGCCCATACCAGAGGGATTCATTGCCATTGACAGGAATATTGACTGCCGCTCACCAAATTGTCAGAGGTAAGAATGGGTAGGATAATTTTAATAATAATAATACTTTTTTCATAAGAATATGCATACAAAAGACATTAGACAAAGGCCCAATTGTAGGTACAGGGGTTGCACATTAAATGAAGCCACAACTACACAAAACAGTTCCAACAAAACTTTGAATAATTCAGATACAAGTTATTTATAGGTAGTTGCTAGTGAACAGCTCCTACAAATAACAGCTGCTTACCTAAATCCTCTATGCAGACGAGGAGTCACAATAACGTGACTGAAATATGTTGATCAAACCACACACACTAGAAAGTGAAGGGACGACGACATTTCGATCCATCCTGGACCATTCTCAAGTCGATTATGTGTGTTACACACAATCGACTTGAGAATGGTCCAGGACGGACCGAATCGTCGTCGTCCCTTGACTCTCTAGTGTGTGGTTTGGTCAACTAAATCCTCTATATAAATTCTTTTAAGAAATTAATAATTTAAAAAACTTTCTCTTTACAGTATTTACCGTAGTTATCATGTCTTGTAAAGTAATTCTCAGAGTTGGGTCCTTTCTCAAGTATATGGAGTCACCATAGTACAGTCAGGTTCATTCTCTACTCACAGTTGAGAATTCTGGGTTTGTATCCTGGGCAGGACAGCAATGGTTTGGTGCATTTCCTGTCACCTAATGCACTTGTTCACCTACAAGTAAATAAGGTACCCAGGAGTCAACTTGTTGTGGGGGTTACATCCTGGGAAGGGTTATTAGTTTGAACTTGGCAGGATCTTGATATAAGCTTAATATGTACAGGTATAACAACTAAGCCTAACATCAACAACAAACTAAGGGATTTGGGAATGTTGGTAAGTTTATGAGCAGCAATAAATAGATGATAGATACTTTTCACTTCAATTACTTAATTTATAAATTGACTTTCTCTACACTCCTTTTCATTACACGACTTGATAATGGTCTACAATGGACCAAAACATCATCATTGCCTTTATTTTCAATTTTTTTTGTTGAATGTCTAACGGTGAACCTTGGAGTCATAATCCATCAATCACTGAATGTTGCACAACAAGTGGGAGTTGTAATGAAAAAAAAATAACCAAACCCTAAATGGAATCAAGCGTACCTTTAACTTTAATGAAAGGAAGGTATTAAACTGTATGTCTGGTGCTATTATTTGTATCCAAATTATTATTTTGTAGTCCACTCAGTTTATTATATGCAAGCCTGGCTGTCATACAGACCAGGATGGTTAACGACCACAGGGCTAACAACATTGCAAACTAGGCATAACAAGGTGAATCTCATGGAAACTTTTACAATACTGAACAACTTGGAGGATATTGATCCAGATCATTTCTTGAAAAGGTCAGATGTAACACAAAGAGTAATGGCTTCAAGCTCAATAAGCCACACTGTGGGACTGAAAACAAAGAGATTCTTTTTCACCCATAGAATTATAAACCCATGGAACCGTTTACCCACAAAAGCCATTAATGCCAAAACACAGTTGAATTTAAAAAAAAAAAATAGCTGCCTATCCTCACTGAGGCTAATAGTGTGTTAGTGGTCCTCAGATAAATTCAGGTAAAAAAATAAATTTTGAAGATACTGCCCTATATAATAATTAATTCATCCCATTACCCACACAAAACATCCATATCCATATATTTTGCTATATCCTTATGGCAAAAATTCCATATGTCATATAACAAAATTATCCATATATTTGCCATACAGTATATCAAATTATAACAAAATAATTATTGCTGCTATGCAGTAATATGTAATGTTTAAAGTAATTTATACATCATTCATATCAAATTTACAAGCAAGACGAATGGTGTGACACCTGTGTGTCCTGTGACACCTGTGTGTTGCAATATTTCTTCCTGTTTTTTAGTGGTTGCATCTGGATTAAAGTTTGTAACTGTGTTCTTGAGAATGCTTAATTCTTGTTCGAGGTTGACGACTTTGGTAGTGTGTGTGTCAGTCAGTGTGGCAGTGCACCTTCGGGTCTGGCCAGTAACTGGATGAATAACTGCAATGATAGCCTTGCCCTTTGCTAGAGGAAATCATGAAGAATCAAATAGGGTGTTTATGCCAAACAGCAATACAGTATTCCATATAAATAAATAAATAAATAAATAATAAATGTTTATTTAGGTAAAAGTACATACATACAAGATGAGTTACAAACAAAATGTTGGATGTCTAGATAGAGCTAGTAGATACTATGCCTAAAGCCACTAATACGCACAGTGTTTTGGGCAAGATGTAGGAAAAACAATTAGACTAAAACTTAAAACTATATCATATGTATCATAATATCAACGTGTATCTCATCATTCCTGACACCTCTACAAGACCTTAATTTGTTCTATGTGCCCACAGCAACAAGGTGAACAAACACTTTCACTGTACGCGCTGTGGCTTCTCCTTTGTTCGCTACCAGACACTCGAGTCCCATGCGGAGAAGCATCAACAGGAAGATGGGGTGATTCACACTCATAGTCTGGGCCCTCAGTCACCCATATACCTTAAAAAGCCTCGCCCGGACAGCCCTATGGATGCTCCAACAGCTACTGCAGACAGGGAGTCACCCAGCAAGGCACAAGGTTGGTATGAGAAATTCCTGTGATTTGTAGCATACCCACTGAGAATAATGGCTACTTCTAGCATTTAGGTTATTGTTCGTCTTGTGTACTGCCTTATTCAGTGTAAAAGTATACTTAAGATTTTGTTAAAACTTTTGTGCATACATTTAACACAATCATATCAGTTTTTTTTAGATTAGATCATTTATTATGTATACCATACACATACCATGGGTGGTAGTGAAAAAAGGGATACAGAGGTACATAGTGGACTCAGGAACTGAACCACAAAATTAATTTAGCTAAGCAGGATACAGTACATCACTAATAATTTTGTTGTATTTGTGTCTAACTTCAGACACGAGCATGTTACAGTTGTGTCTTAAAGAGTTGAGAGCAATTAAGAATGATAAAGAATCACAAATAATTAATTGACACAATTATGTGTCAAGTTTAGAGACATTTGTGTGCAAGAAGTAAGGCAAATATTCCAGTCTGAAGGGTAGAGGCCCAGTTGTTTATACAGACTCCCTGCTCAGAATACAGTACAGTATAAGCCTTCACCAATTGTCAAGACAACTGCAGTTAGAGCTGCACTCAAGGAGCAGTGTAGGAAACCAGCAGTGCATATGCTTTGAGAGCGAGAATGCTCTGTGGCCAGAGTATCATTATAGCTTAAGGCATTGAGCTTTGCTTTAAGACGAAGGGTAGGCTGATGTTTAATTTGCTTTTTGAGTGAAAAGGGAGGGATTAAAATTTGATGGGGAGGTAATCTCCCACAGTGTAGGAAAGTGCCATGGTTATCTCTAGTGATACAAATTGTAAATCTGGTACATTCTGTAATACAACTTGTTAAGTCAGTAGTTAAAAGCATATTTAATAAAAACACTAATATGGAGAGCATTTTGGACATAACTTGAAATAATAAGGGTCAATTTTTATAGGCAAATGAGGTAAGCTTTTAATACTAAACTAGAGTCAAGCTAACATATATGAATTGTTCAAGTAATTTAGCAAATGATATTCAATATTTAAGTGATGCTAATGAAGTGCTAGATAAGCAGATTACTCTTCTATCCATATCTATCACACATGCATGCTTAAAATATGCCATAATGCAGTCTGTTAAGACAATTAATAACATTTGCTATCTTGAAAATATTCTCAGCCTAGCTGCAGGTTACACTGACATGTAGATCTCTCCCCCCCAGTGGTCAAGTCATCTGGGATCTTCTACCCTCTGTCACCGTTCCCTACGTCTAGCCCATCCAACCTCCGACCCTCCAGTACCCGGGGAGAAGCAGGTGCTCTTGTCACACCAATTCCACCATCATCACGACTGCAGAATTCGACTACTTTCACCCTCCCTGTGTCGGGAAGCCTCACTATCACTGCTACTCGTCGTTCACCCCCACCTCATGGTATGCATTCACCCATTCGAGACCGCATGGATCAAGCAGAATCAGATGACCGAAATGAATTGGACACTGATCATCCTCGTCCACTGAGTCAACAAGGAGACCCGTATCCTGCCCGTATCCTTCAGACCCTTAATCGGGAAGAGTCACCTCTAATAATTCCTTCTTTAGGTTCCGAATGGCTTGGTCCAGAACGGCACCCACAGTATGGCCCAGAGTATTCTTGCGGCCGGCCATTTTGTAAGCTGAAAAAGAAAGAACATTTCCACTGTCAAATTTGCAATCAAGCTTTTAGTGAACATGAAAAACTGAGGCCACATCTAATTAAACATGTTACTTGTAACCCTATGAGTTCTGGTGACTTTTCTGTAGGTGGAGAGGAGGATACAGATGGTTGTACTGATCAGGGAGACGAGGAAGAAGGAAATATCCAACCCAAAATTGAAATCAATGACTGTCCGGTGAGCCCAAGAAGTTCCAATGAAAGTAGTACTAGTAGTTTTGGAATAACAACGCAGAGTGTGTCTACTAGTAGCCCGAGACCTCTCAGCAGTAGCAGCATCAGTTGTAGCTTGAGTGGACCCCAAACAACGCCACAGTTTCCAATGGTATATACTCAAGCTGCCAGTTTCCCTGGACTTCCCTCTCCATTTGGTCCACATTTGGGCATGGCAGGAATATTTCCAGGATCATTGCCACGTCTTCTGCCACCAGCTGCGTGGCAAGTTCATCCAGCACTGGCAGCTATGGCCCATCAAGGCCTCATTATGCCTGGAGTCCGTCCCAATGGAGATCTGACTCATGGGTCACCTGTGCCAGGAGGCCTACCTGGTGTTGGTCCAGGGATGGGAGGACCAGGGCTCCCTGGATCTGGAGGAGACCACAACCCTCTGTTGCCCTCCTCTCTGGGAACTTCACCTCACCTAGCTATGCTAGGCAAGAGACTCGGTGCTGAAGACTTCAATGCACAAGAAGCTAAGAAGATCCGTTCCAACCACTCCATACGCTTGCTTAAAGATGAGCCTGTGCCTGAAGGTTATATACGCTTTAGGTAAGTGAAAAGCTTTCCATTTTGTTACATATGCGCTTGAATTTACTGTACTTGATACTTGAATTTATCTAATGGCTACTATCTCTCTAGTGGCCTCAATGAGGACAGGAAGCTGGCCACTTGTCAGAGGTTCCCCATTTGTCCTGATGATTTTATCAAGCTGAATTTTGAAATTCAGCAGTTTTGGCATTTACAGCTTTGGTGGGTAGACAGTTCCATGACTTTATAACCCTATGGGTGAAATAAGTATCTCTCAGAATGGGAATACAGTATATATTGTAATGGCGATGTGAAGAGAATGACATAGGCTATTAAATAGCACTTCAGTGTAAGTGTTGTCAACAAAAAAATGTTTAAAATTCATCAAATTGCTCGTAAACATGAATAATAAACAGCTTGCTATAATTAGAATATATTGAAGATGAAGCTTTCTTAGTGACAGACACTAATATGTAGCCATCAATGACATGACCACCTCCACTCTACCATTAACCATAGGAGTGCCACAGGGCAGCATCTTAGAACCTCTCCTATTTTTTATATACATTAATTTTATTTTATTTATTTATTTATTTATTTATTTATTTATTTATTTATATAAGATACAAGAAGATACATTGGGTTTATGAGAGTACATAGCATTGATGTTTATACATTCCTGTAAAGCCACTAGTATGCATAGCATTTCGAGCAGGTCCTTAATCTAACAGATAATTTTAAGTAGGTAATTTCTAGCAAAATTTTAAGAATGTTAACAGGTGCATTGTAAGAAAATTTGACAAAGATTAGTAGGTACATTAAAGTAAAATTTGAGTGTTACAAACAGGTACATGGTAGCATAATTGGAGGATTATTATTATTTTTTTTTTTTTTTTGAGATATATACAAGAGTTGTTACATTCTTGTACAGCCACTAGTACGTGTAGCGTTTCAGGCAGGTCCCTGGAATACGATCCCCACTGCGAAGAATCGTTTTTACAACCAAGTACACATTTTACTGTTGGGTTAAACAGAGGCTACAGTTAAGGATTTGCATCCAGTAAATCCTCCCCGGCCAGGATACAAACCCATGACAAAGCGCTCGCGGAACGCCAGGCGAGTGTCTTACCACTACCCCACGGAGACTGGTTATAATGATATAATGCATTGAAATATAATGCATATATAATATAATGCAAGATATAATGCATTGACATATGCGTTCAATATAACAACCATGATATAAGATGATAGCAATGACTACAATGGTAAAGTTGTATGGCTTAGGTACATATATTGGGGGATTGAGTAGCACTAGATACAGTGTGAGTTTAAAACACTAGGTAGGAAACTATGAAGATGAAATTAGGTACTTTTTGTTTTTGATTTTGAATAAGGCAAAGGTTGGACAGCTTTTCAATTCGTTAGGGAGTGAGTTCCATGGACTAGATCCCTGCATTTGCATAGGTATTGCATTTATAATTATTTATATTGTATATTTGCATTTATTTGCAATGTATCTAACATTCCTAAACCTATACTATTTGCTGACGGTACTACCTACATCATCAGTATTCAGACCTCAACTTACACACACTAAATAATATTGTAAATACAGTGTAACGAATTAAAATTACTGGTATTATTATAAATTATTATTCAAGAAAGTCCACTCATGGATGTTTACCAACAAACTCACACTAAACATAGAAAAGACCGACTACATTTTATTTGGAAGTAAATCCTCAAACCAAATTCAACTTCAGATAGACAATGTTAACATTAACAGTAAAAATTATGAAAACATTCATTAGCCTATACATAGACAAGTGATTAAACTTTTAGCACGCACATACACTACATATATCCCAAAAAAGTATAAAAAACTATAGGTTAACTCTCTAAAATCAGATATTATGTTTCCCACTCTGCTATCCTCTCATATACTACTCGCTAATCTATCCCTATCTTTCCTGAGTTTACCTTTACCTGATACCTAAGTTTACCTTACCCGAGGTAACCTTCACCTTACATACGGTATCTGTACATGGGGTCCCACCACTGCAAATTACCTCAAGCCCATTATCACCCAGCAAAAATATGCTACCAGAATTATAAGAAACTCTGTTTTCAGACTACACACAGCCCCCTCTGTTTAAATTCCTAAACATACTCAACTCCACATCTGTTCTTGTGCTACTTACATGTACAAACCTTGTTCCTAAATGCTGCTACTGATCTGAAACTCTTCCTTGGTAAAGTTAATAGAACCCATGAGCACCACACCAGAAATAAATAACTCCTAGATATCCCCAGAGTTAAACTAAATCTATGCAAACAATTTATGCAAATAAAAGGACCCAATCTATGGAACTCACTTCCTAATGAATTTAAACAAATTCCACTCATGCCTTTTTCAAAAGTAAAATCAAAATGTACCTAATTTCATCCTCAAAGTTTTCTACTTTGTGATTCAAACTCACATTGTATCTTGTGCTACCCACTCCCCCAATATTAGTACTGCTCTTAAGATATGCATTTTCACCTGTGTAATTATCTTCATCAATTTATATTATTGTTATACAAATACAAATATTTATTCAGGTAAAGTACATACATACAAGGTAAGATACAAAAGTTGATGGATTTATAGATAGAGCTAGTACATACAATGCCTAAAGCCACTATTACGCAAAGCGTTTTGGGCAGATAAAACGTTATTATGTTGAACTCAAATTTTGCTACAAAATTTGTATTTCTCTCTTCATTTATCGTACTCCGTCTTTCACCTCTTCGTTCTAAACTAGCTGGAGAGGTTCTGAGAAGTGTGTAACACCCTGGTATTTGATATGAACAAGTAACACCTCTGCGATTTTAATCAATTCCGTTCGAACGTCTCAATACCTATTCATCTTGCCTTATTTGGTAGATTAAGGACCTGCTTGAAATGCTGTGTGAGCTAGTGGCTTTGCAAGAATGGAAGAATACTTTCTTGTATATAAATATGTAAATAAATAAATAAATAAATATGATGGGATTAAATCCATGTCTCTGAACTCTTCTAGCACACACACAACCGACTGGACCATGATGGCCTTAAAAATAACTTGACCAGATGTATTACCTCACAGATTTATCACATTATTATTACATCCTTCAGTATCATAATCCTGCCGATGTCTTTTAAAGCCTTACATTTTCACTGCCAACAGATTCAATGAGGACTGTCAGTATCCTCACTGTGGATACCGGGAACACCAGACACACTTCCACTGCATGAGAAAGGACTGTGGTTACTCCTTCTGCGATAAAACACGCTTTGTGCAGCACACTGCGCGGCACGAGCGGCTCGATACCCTTATGGGTGGCGATTTTAATCAATTCCGTTCGAACGTCTCCTGTGGACGCCCTGACTGTGTTTATGCCTCAATGATAGGTAAGATTGTCCATCAGGTTTCAATGAATTTAATACATTTTTTATTCCTTGTTATTATGCAATAGTATAATGCACAGTATAGTATTGTATTTGAACACATTAAAGTACATATTTTGTATTTTAGTACATAATGTAAACGGATAAAATATTACACATTCTTAAAATAAAGATGAGCAAATATCTCATTTCATAAATGTTTATCCCAACAGGCCAACAGCAAAACAAGGCGTCACATTTCCACTGCCTAAAGTGCGACTTTGTGTGCACAGACACTAATAAGGTTGTGGCGCACCGTAGGCAGCATCAGAAACGAGACTCTATCAATGCTGCAGGCTTTGAAAAGTTTACACCGTCCCAGCCTTGTGGAATTCAAGGCTGCAACCATAATCAGAAACAGACACATTACCATTGCCTCAAGTGCCAGTACTCGGTCCTAGGACTCAGCCAGATGTCCGCACACAGGTACCGACACCTCGAATGAAGTTTCTTTGGGGAGTAATCTGCGGAGAGGCTCCCCAGCACCCCTTATGAGGGTGCAAGAACAAATCAACACTTTAAGACTGTGAAATTCATGCCCGTCCAAGCTACCCTGAGAAGTAGTAGTGAACTGGCGAATACGGCCTCAAGTGGGCACGTTTTAGAGCCCATGTGTTGAACATTTGTGAGCTACACAATGTAGCCTTGTACAATAGCATATGTGTTATCATTAGCCTTACATATCACTGTAACATACCAAGTGGTGTAGTTGTTAATCTTTCTACTGTACCTTGTATCCAATTTTTGCTAGACAGTGAAATTTGTACGGATGAATTACCCATGTTAACCGATATATAAAGTGAAATCTCTTGTGTACCATATAGAAAAGTGGATAACTATACATGGTGTATATGGTGTTGTGGTTGTACCGGTGAGCCTTATAGTCATAGGCAAGTAATGGGACGTGGTCAGGTCAGGTTATACACCAGCCTGTACCCATGACCACTGTGGCCCACTACAGCCCACTACCTGCTGCCCACTTTACATGTGGACTATTAACTGTGTTATTCTGTTGGTTTAGTATGAACCAATGTACTATTGACTAATATTACTGAATGTATGTGATGTAAATGGTATTCAATACCGAGAAAAAAAGAAGCCTCAGACTGTATGAAACCCGAGTGCCTTGTTGAAGGTTAAACAACAGTGTCTTTGCGCTAGTGTCTTACTGTAGGTTGGTGTGGTGTAGTTTGTGTGGTAGACGTGCAGGTGCTGTGTGTACCTGCCGCCCGTGCCTTCCTGTGACCTGTACCACTATCGCCCACCACCACCATCATCACCACCGCCACCTCCCTACTCGTGCACTCCTACACCTGAACACAGCTTATCTGAATATAATTTTATACTATTTATTTTTTAGTGTTACCAAATATTAGTGCCAAGTACTGTATTCTGTACTCATTCAATTATTTCCTGTAGTGCCAAACATTTTCTACTTGTTTGTTTTTAATTTGATGGCTAAGAATGTGCCAATATCATAGTGTTTATGATTTAGAAAATCTTATAATGTATAGCACCAACTCGTGTATTCTGCATTGCATATTCAAGCCATGGTGTAGAATTTCTAGTGAAAATGGCAGCATAAAATAGGTTGAAAGTGTGTAGTTAGTGACTCAGCACAATGGTTGTGCCTCGCCTGCCTCACCATCCCGCTCAGCGTTCACTACGTGTACTGCGTGTCTGAGGCAGGGAGCTGGGGGATCTCAGGGCAGTCTTTGGCCTGGGGGACCTGCTTGCCCCATGGAGGTAGTCCAAGCTAGTTTACAAAAAAAAAACCTCCTTAGTGAGAAAGTAGGCCACCAGGCCTCTAAGCAGTAGAGTGTCTTGTTTGCTGTGATGTAGATATGTAGTATTAGGAAGACATGACCAACAGTAGCCAGTGTGAAACACAAGACGGCCGACAGCATGCCTGTCCCCTGCTGCACCTCCTGCTGTGTCTCTTTTTTCAGCTTTACAACTTTATATATTTCTTCCATGTTGTTATTTGTATTATTCACACACTTTCCCTGCTTGCACCTTTTTGATCTTGTATAAAGTGTGTGTGGTGAGTGGAGTAGGGGTGGGGTGGTGGCTGTGAGTGAGGCCCACCCACCAGCTACTTGCTTCTCACTCTGGAAGGTGCACCGCCCAGTAGCCTCAGTTTCAGCTCACTCAGCACTGCTGATGCATTTATGTACAGTTCTATTTATTATGGTGGGTGTCCCAGATGTGGAGCCGGCCTACAAGGTGATGCTCAGCCGTTGCACGCCTTCAGTAGTTGTCTTCTCAATTACTTGAAAAGTTATTGTAATAGGATATATATTTACTGTTGGTGAGCAGCTACAATGGCATTGCCTTGTAGGGCAATATGACTTATCCTGGCACTCCTCTAGTTTAGCTTGCTGACATTTTAACCCATCTTGGTGCCTGAAACCCCTGGAGGTCTAATACAGTCTCTCGAGAGTCATAACACTTAGCTCTGGAACTCTGTCACATACTCCAAAGTTCAGTGATGATTCTTGAAACTCTGACACTGATCTCCAGAACCCAGGCACTGATTGCTGGAACTCTGGCACTGATCTACAGAACCCAGGCACTGATTGCTGGAACTCTGGCACTGATCTCCAGAACCCAGGCACTAATTGCTGAAACTCTGGCACTGACTTTAAAGGTTCTGGAACAAACTTCTAAAAGCTCTGGCACTAATTAAGCCTTAGCACTCAATGTCCAGAGACCTTTTACTGACTTATGGCGCCCAAACTATACTGGATAAATTCTCCAGAGTAAATCGCCATTCTGGAAAGAGATGGAAGGAACTGTTGGAAAGGGAGGAGTGTCAGGCTGGGAAAGAGGGCCTCACCGAGCCTCTAGGACGGGTGGAAGGGTGTTGGACTGGGCACCGCGGCCACACGCTGGGCCGCCCGCCCACATCATCATCCTGGCAACTTACTCAAATAAAGTGATACATTGAAAATTTGTGTTTTGTTATGATCCTAAAATTTTCCATGGTGTAATTGTGGGTTCAATAATAAAAATTATGAGTGAATGATTGACCATTTCTGCCCAAAATGGTGTGTTAGTGGTTTTGCAAGAATGTAACCACCTTATCACCAACATATGTAATTTTCACAACCCATTGTACCTTTTTGTATATATGTATAAATAAAATAATAATAAAAATCAAAATAAAACATTCGTGAAACCTGTGTATTGTCAGCCATGGAGACCAATAACTGTATTATGCAATACTGTACAGTGTAAAAATATTTTGTGAGAGTTTGTGTTCATAATTATTCAAGCATTTTCTAGCAATTATAATTCCATCATGATCGCATCTAAAATGCATCATTATATTCAGATTCAGATTCAGATTCAGATTCAGATGTTTATTCAGGTAAGGTATATACATACAAGTGATGTTACATTAATGGATTTATATATAGATAGAGCTAGTACATACAATGCCTAAAGCCACTATTACGCAATGCGTTTCGGGCAAGAAAACATTAATATCTAGAACTTAATACTAATTGAGCATAAAGAATAAAAGATGTTGAGAACAAATACAAATAAAGATAAAAAAAAAGGGGGAACATGACTGAAAAAGCAGCACAAATACAATAGGTTGACAAACAGTGTTGATTAAAAAAAAAAAAAGAAAATAACAGACATGGGTTGAGAATGTGATATGGGCACTCAGAGAACACTATGAACATCAAAGACCCGCAACTTTGCAGTTTTGCCCAAATATTGCTGAAACAAAAGAAGTTTTTCCAGAGGCAATTTATAAATTTCCCTGTATCAACCAGGTTATAATTTTTTTTTTATCTGAGGGCCACTAATAATGTTTATTGTTTTCCCATTATTGGGAACAAGAAGGTTCTTTGATTTATTGGATCCCACTATGTCAAATATACATTAAAGTGCCCAAAAGTTTCAATCTGCCTGGGAATCCAACCTGGGGTCGAATCAGTCATGAGCAGACTGTGCTGCACAGTGCTGCTGTGCTTTGAAAGGAGAACTCTCGAAATCTGCTATAGGTAGATTATAGACATTTGTGTTAACATACACTAAATTATATAGTACCACTTCAACCAGTAAACATTTGTATTAGTATTACAGTTTACTCCTGAGCTGCCTGTGTGTTTACAGATGTATATTGTTCTGAAACTATGGTATGTATACCTCTTCAAGACCTTTGGAGCCATGCAGTTCTGGTGCAATTTGTGTAAAGGTTTCAACCTTCCCCCCTCGATGACTGCAAGAGTTCTAACCAGTTGAGAGGCGGGACCAAAGAGCCGAAGCTCAACCCCCGCAAGAATAAACTAGGTAAATGGTAATGTTGGGAGACGCGTCACAATGACACGTCAGTATTTATTCAGAAAGACTTAGTTAGAAGTTCGACACCGCTCCTGTGCCTGGTAAGTCCACTACGGGCTCACCATAGCCCGTGCTACTTGGAATTTATTCAGAGTAGCTGAATCTATTACAACAACAACAACAACAGTTAGAAGTTGCTGTTGTCTTCAGTTGGAGGAATGAATCAAAGGAAACATGAAATACATTCTTGTTCCTATAGCTGGATGCTCGATTTTTAACTTGACATTATCTTAAGTTGTTATTTTAGACAAACGCCCACTTCCTCGAAGTAATTAATGGATGTAATTAAACAAAGATGCATTGCCAAGCCCTACGACTTTTCTTAAAATAGGTTTACCTGATTGAACAACTGAACAACTGTTGTAGTGCAGAAAACAGAAAAAAGGTGGCCATCCACTTAGACCGTCTGGGATCGAATAATGACGTGCAATAAGCGAGGTCGTCAAGTTCAAGTTGTTGGTTGGCTTTTATTTTGTTATATAATCTATAATAATAATAATAATAATAATAATAATAATAATAATTTATTTAGGAACAGTACATACATAGTTGCAGCGTTACAGTACAAACATTCTGTTAGATTTAAAGATAGAGGTAGTACATACAATACCTAAAGTCACTAGTACGCATAGCGTTTCGGGCAAACTATTATTCTGTTCCCATTTACCCTGTCACCCCATTGAGTAGTATTTTCTGGGAGTAATTTGATTTCGAGTTCTTGCGAAGCTTGACTTCCGTAGGGCACTGTTGAGGGTGTCTACTGGTTTCGATCCCATACGGAACACGTGTCCACCAGCCGGCCAGCGCCTCCGTCATGGATACCGCGCTTCACTATTTTCCTCTCTTGTCCTCTGCTGCAGGCCGTTCCCTGCGCTAGATCATTGCTCACGGCATCATTCCAGCACCACCATAGACCCCTTCGAGTTATAGAGACGCTGCAGGAACCTGTAGCATGGCTTTCGATTGGCTTATACCTGCCTCCTGCTGCCTGCGTCCTCGGCAAGGTAAGGTAATAGGCTTTTTTTCCCACACTTTTTCACGAGGTCTCAGTCTTCATAATTCCAATATTTAATAATAATTTACCCCCTTACATCAGTGTTCCGGGCTCCTGTGTAAAGATGTGTGTGTGTCTTGTTGTTGTTGTTTAAGATTCAGTTACTGGGAACAAAAAGTGGCAAGTAGCACGGGCTCTAGCAGTCCCCGTGGTGCAGTGGTAAGACACTCGCCTGGCGTTCCGCGAGCGCTATGTCATGGGTTCGTATCCTGGCCGGGGAGGATTTACTGGGCGCAAATCCTTAACTGTAGCCTCTGTTTAACTCAACAGTAAAATGGGTACTTGGTTGTAACAACGATTCTTCGCGGCGGGGGATCGTATTCCAGGGACCATAGGATTAAGGACCTGCCCGAAACGCTACGCGTACTAGTGGCTGTACAAGAATGTAACAACTCTTGTATATATCTCAAACAAAAAAAAAAAATGGTGAGCCCGTAGTGGACTTGCCTGGCACAGGGGTGGGGGGTTATAGACGATTTCTGTTGGTTTAAGTCGCGTGGATAGGTCAAATGTGGCCTTAATTATTAGGGTTGGCAAGGTGAGAAGAAATGAGCTAAACCAGTAGGGTTATATGGGGTCTTGGAAGGTTATTTAGTGACGATACAAATAATGTGCTTTGTCTCCATGTAAGTTGAGGCCATTCTTGCTTGGCCTCACCCTTGTGAGTTTAAGGTAACCAGGTCGCCCATTGCAATAGAATACAATATTAAATTTGTTTTCATAAATGTATTTTTAAAACATTTATAGTCGAGTTAGTTTACATAAGTTTACAGGGAATTAGTGACTTAAGAAAAAGTCTTAAAAAGAACATAATATGATACATCTGACGATGAGAATACAATTTAAAGGACTGCTATAAATTAACCATTCAATGACTTTGTACAACCAATTGTCACACCCTCAACACACTCAGTCAACAGATTATAGGGCAAACCTGGATCAAAATTCTTCCGAACACACAGTTCATGCAGCATAGATCTGACTTCCAATGTACTCCAAATGCCTGTCAGTAAGCCATCTCCTTTTGACAGTAGGTCTGTCAAAATTGCAATTATCCAGCTGGGGGGGTCTCCCCTGCTTTCTCTCTCTGTTGACTAATTGTTTTATTAGTAATAATAATAATTTATTTAGGAAAAATACATACATAGTTGCAGGGTTACAGTACTAACATTCTGTTTGATTTAAAGATAGAGGGTAGTACATACAATACCTTAAGCCACTAGTACGCATAGCGTTTCAGGCAATCTATCCTGTACATACTGTTGTTTCAGATTTAGCTACTGAGAACGAAATGTCTATGTAGTACTGGGTATAATGAGCCTGTAAATCCTGTACACCTGCTGTATAATTATATACATATCACTCATATCGTTGTATTTCCCAACAATTAAGTTTATATTTCTAGAAAAGTAGGAGTGGCCAGTGACAGGCGAGTACATGAAAAAAAAAGTAACTGACTTTGCTGGATATGTAATTCTCTTCAGGGAAAAGATAATCATTCGTTTGTGAAGAGTTTCTTCATGTGTGGAAGTGGACATTAGAGCAGATATGAGAGTGCAGTGAGTGCGAGGATTGGGGACACACACAAGATTCGTCTTGAATATTTTCACAATTTACAGTTAAACTTACCAAGATCAGCATTTTGAAAAGGTCCCCATAGATCAGGCTTAGATATTGACTGTTAAATGACTTTATCTTTCGACCAGGTATCAAGATGAGCAAATTTACTGGAAATGATACTCGTTCTAACTTTTAGTTTTTAATATCATTTCAGACCTAAATATTAGAACAGTTGTTGTCATAGATGTTGCAATCTATCATTTGTTCTGCCTCCTGCTATATTTTTGCCCCCCCCCCAAGCTCCAACCCCTATTTTCTGCTTCAGTTATTTTATGCTTCTATTTTCTGCTACAATTATGTATTTTCTGCTACTATTTTCTCCTACTATTTTTTTGTTCCAGTTATTTTATGCTCTTACTATTTCCTGCCCCCTGTTATTTCCTGTCCCTACTATTTCCTGCCCCCTGTTATTTCCTGTCCCTACTATTTCCTGCTCATTACTACATCCTACCCCCTACAAATTTCTGCCCCTATTATTTTCTGCCCCATACTATTTTCTGCCCCAATGATTTTCTGCCATTTACTATTTTCTGACCCCTTTTATTTCCTGAGATCATACTATTTTCTGTCCCCTAATATTTTCTGCCCTCTATTTTTCTTACCCCCCCTTAAAAGATAAAATTTGTCCCCTTAAAAGTCTTGAAAATTTTGCTATAATCTTCATTAAAATTTAAACTATTCCAGTGTTTAATTCCATATTTCTTAAATTGGAAATTATAGTGTCTTGGGTTATTGAAATAGGCGTTGAGTGCTCACCCTCAAGTCGTACTAATACCAGCATTTAATACTAGGTGAGTTGTGAAGTGCTTCTTGGTCTGCTTGTGAAGGCTCTGGAGGCTGTAGGAGTGTAAGGTAAGGGTGATTATTGATGTTTTTCCTGAGTTTGCAGACTGTTGTGGGAGGCATTATGCTTAGGCATAACATTTTTATTGTAGATACTGTGAAGTAATGTGTGTTTTGGGGAAGACTCACTGTGAGGTAATATGAGTTGTGGGGGAGACTTACTGTGAGGTAATATGAGTTGTGGGGGACTTACTGTGAGGTAATATGAGTTGTGGGGAACTTACTGTGAGGTAATATGAGTTGTGGGGAACTTACTGTGAGGTAATATGAGTTGTGGGGAACTTACTGTGAGGTAATATGAGTTGTGGGGAACTTACTGTGTGGTAATATGAGTTGTGGGAAACTTACTGTGAGGTAATATGAGTTGTGGGGAACTTACTGTGAGGTAATATGAGTTGTGGGGAACTTACTGTGAGGTAATATGAGTTGTGGGGATCTTACTGTGTGGTAATATGAGTTGTGGGGAACTTACTGTGAGGTAATATGAGTTGTGGGGAACTTACTGTGAGGTAATATGAGTTGTGGGGATCTTACTGTGTGGTAATATGAGTTGTGGGGAACTTACTGTGTGGTAATATGAGTTGTGGGGAACTTACTGTGTGGTAATATGAATTGTGGGGAACTTACTGTGTGGTAATATGAGTTGTGGGGAACTTACTGTGTGGTAATATGAGTTGTGGGGAACTTACTGTGTGGTAATATGAGTTGTGGGGAACTTACTGTGTGGTAATATGAATTGTGGGGAACTTACTGTGTGGTAATATGAGTTGTGGGGAACTTACTGTGTGGTAATATGAGTTGTGGGGAACTTACTGTGTGGTAATATGAGTTGTGGGGAACTTACTGTGTGGTAATATGAATTGTGGGGAACTTACTGTGTGGTAATATGAATTGTGGAAAAGACTTACTGTGAGGTAATATATGTGTTTTGTGGGAAAGCCTTATTTATTACAATCTATTACAGGTTAAATATGATATAATTTTTTTAGTTAAGATTTGCACATATGTCTTTACATTATAGTAAGAAAGAAAGAAATTGGCGTCCAGTTAATAAGATATTTAAAGACTCGTCTCGAGGGTCATCTTGGCAGCATGCCAAATGGCACTAGTTTCATTCATGTCAACCCTGACATGACCATGTAAGATGTGTGCCCAAATGCGCACTTTATTAAATATTAGGTGAGGTTAGCACCTTGTGTTTGGCCTTCAGCCTCGAACACAGACATTTCCATATATATACAGTATATATATATATATATATATATATATATATATATATATATATATATATATATATATATATATATATATATATATATATATATGTCGTACCTAGTAGCCAGAACGCACTTCTCAGCCTACTATGCAAGGCCCAATTTGCCTAATAAGCCAAGTTTTCATGAATTAATTGTTTTTCGACGACCTAACCTACCTAACCTAACCTAACTTTTTCGGCTACCTAACCTAACCTAACCTATAAAGATAGGTTAGGTTAGGTTAGGTAGGGTTGGTTAGGTTTGGTCGTATATCTACGTTAATTTTAACTCCAGAAAAAAAATTGACCTCATACATAATGAAATGGGTAGGTTTATCATTTCATAAGAAAAAAATTAGAGAAAATATATTAATTCAGGAAAACTTGGCTTATTGGGCAAATTGGGCCTTGCATAGTAGGCTGAGAAGTGCGTTCTGGCTACTAGGTACGACATATATATATATATATATATATATATATATATATATATATATATATATATATATATATATATATATATATATATATATATATGTACGACATATATATATATATATATATATATATATATATATATATATATATATAAGGATTATATAATTTCAAAGACAATAAGAAAAAGTATCACTTTAATTACAAAAAATGAAATATAAAATTTGTTTAGTCATTAGGACAAATGCCAACAGACATAGAATTAGACATTGACAAACGTAACTCTTTGTTATGCGTCAATAATTTGAATGTAAACACCCATGTCATAGAAACGGACATAACAGCACCAATAAAGTGCGTTCAGTCTCGTTGGTAACCTTAACAGCTAAATGAATATAAATAGTGAATTTTTTTCCCAATCAAAAATACTATTTGTTTAAATCTTCCACTATTACATCTCCATTATGGCATTTAATTAATTATATTTTATGTCATCCATACCTCGCAAAGGTAATATAATAAGATGATGTCTTCAAAAATGATTTTTAAATGTAAATATGATTAGAAAAACAATTGAAAAAGTCACTATTGAACTACTAATAGTCGGAAGACAGATGTTCCACCCTACTGCACTTGATGAGCACAAGAGATTGTATCCTTAAATTACAATTCAAACAAACAATACATATTTTTCAAATCCTAATGATTTAATTGAAAGATAAGTCAAAATAATGGTTTTTAAAGTCATGAAAATCGTTAATCAGTGGAACAGAGCTGTTATTACAACTGTGATAAACCATCTTAGTTCCTATAGATCTGTAGTCATAGTTGGGAGGTTGTTTTGGAAAGCTTCCACCATCACTGTACAAGCTTAAACAACTTTCACACTCAAGTCTATGATGATGATAATCCTTGCTGGAAGGCACCAGTTGGTATGACTCTGTAGTCTCTATACAGGCCTGAGGCGGGCTGGTTTTTGGCGGGTAAACTCTGTGGTTTTCAAACATGTGATCCACTGAGCGATCTACGAACATGCCATCTCCCACTGAGCGATCTCCGAACATGCCATCTCCCACTGAGCGATCTCTGAACGTGTGATACACTGAACGATCTCCGAACACGTGATCTTCTATTGAACGATATCCTACTGAGCGATCTCCGAACATCAGCTCTTCCATTGAGCGATCTCTGAACGTGTGATCTACTGAGCGATCTCCGAACATGTGGTCTCCCGCTGAGTGAGCCCTTTGCACCTTTTCTGAAGTCAGCTGCTGCCTAAGTAGCTCCTTTTTAAGAAGGTTGCCACGCATCGAGTACTCTGTATGTAGACTTCCTCTACCATACTGATCTGTCGTGATCAGTTGATTCATCGGATGACCTTCTCGCAGCTGTTCCCTCGGCCGCCTTCCAATCTGTTCTCCAAGGATATGATCTCCCATTCCACCTCCCAGGCGATGTTCTCCACCCGGCCAGGAGAACACAGGCGAAGCACACGGGAAAATCGTCGGAAGACTCAAGTGAGATTCGTTGGAAGCGGCAACTTCGAATCCTTCGTTCTTCGGTAGATGGGGATTGTCTAAGGGCCGACCTCCGAAGCCAGGAGACTCCTCCGTACGCCCGCTGATTGGAACGAGAGGCGGCGGAGGCTTGGTGTTCGGAGATCCCTTTCTCCCGGCACCTTCTGGGGCCTTGTAGCTCTTGTGTCCGCCTGCGGAGCCTCGACTTCCCCATTCTGGAAACACAGACGAAACTTGATGAATATATTGATCAATAAAACCGCATTTGTATTGCTAATCATGGGGGATATATGATAATTTGACAGCCTTTAAGATCAATATATAAGATAACTTGATCCAACAGTAGAGGAGGAGAGTAGAAACTGGATCCAACAGTAGAGGAGGAGAGTAGAAACTTGATCCAACAGTAGAAGAGTAAAGTAGAAACTTGATCCAACAGTAGAAGAGTAGAAACTTAGGAATACATTGTATGGAATGAAGAACAGAATGAAGAACAAGAACACATGCGTTCTCTTACAGGGGAACGAAAACCGCGTGTCACTTTGGCCGTCCTCCACCTGTGGATGGCAGTGGGTGACACCGACCCCCTGGACCCCCGAGGGTGACACCGACCTGGACCCCACGGGGGTGACCCCAAGTCACCCCCGTGGGTGACTTGGACCCCGTGGGTGACATGGATCCCCGTGGGTGACACCGACCCCCTGGACCCCAGTGGGTGACACCAACCCTCTGGACCCCCGTGGGTGACACCGACTCCCTGGACCCCCGTGGGTGACACCGACCCTCTGGACCCCAGAGGGTGACATCGACCCCCTGGACCCCAGAAGGTGACACCGACCCCCTGGACCCCCGAGGGTGATATCGACCCCCTGGACCCCCGATGGTGATACCGACTCCCTGGACCCCCGAGGGTTACATGGACTCCCTGGACCCCCTGGACCCCCGTGGGTGACATGGACCCCCCTGGACCCCCGTGGGTGACATGGACTCCCTGGACCCCCATGGGTGACATGGACTCCCTGGAACCCCGTGGGTGACATGGACCCCCCTGGACCCCGTGGGTGACATGGAGCCCCCTGGACCCCCGTGGGTGACATGGAGCCCCCTGGAACCCCGTGGGTGACATGGACCCCCGTGGGTGACATGGACCCCCTGGACCCCCGTGGGTGACATGGACTCCCTGGAACCCCGTGGGTGACATGGACTCCCTGGACCCCCATGGGTGACATGGACCCCCCTGGACCCCCGTGGGTGACATGGACCCCCCTGAACCCCCGTGGGTGACATGGACCCCCCTGGACCCCCGTGGGTGACATGGACTCCCTGGACCCCCCTGGACCCCCGTGGGTGACATGGACTCCCTGGACCCCCGTGGGTGACATGGACCCCCTGGACCCCCGTGGGTGACATGGACCCCCTGGACCCCCGTGGGTGACATGGACCCCCGTGGGTGACATGGACCCCCCTGGACCCCGTGGGTGACATGGAGCCCCCTGGACCCCCGTGGGTGACATTTACCCCCTGAACCCCCGTGGGTGACATGGACCCCCCTGGACCCCCGTGGGTGACATGGACCCCCTGGACCCCCGTGGGTGACATGGACCCCCTGGACCCCCGTGGGTGACATGGACCCCCTGGATCCCCGTGGGTGACATGGACCCCCGTGGGTGACATGGACCCCCCTGGACCCCGTGGGTGACATGGAGCCCCCTGGACCCCCGTGGGTGACATTTACCCCCTGGACCCCCGTGGGTGACATGGACCCCCTGGACCCCGTGGGTGACATGGACCCCCCCTGGACCCCCGTGGGTGACATGGACCCTCCTGGACCCCCGTGGGTGACATGACCCCCTTGGACCCCCGTGGGTGACATGCACCCCCTGGACCCCCGTGGGTGACATGGACCCCCTGGACCCCCGTGGGTGACATGGACCCCCTGGACCCCCGTGGGTGACATGGACCCCCTGGACCCCCGTGGGTGACATGGACCCCCCTGGACCCCCGTAGGTGACATGGACCCCCTGGACCCCCGTGGGTGACATGGACCCCCTGGACCCCCGTGGGTGACATAGACCCCCCTGGACCCCCGTGGGTGACATGACCCCCCTGGAACCCCGTGGGTGACATGGACCCACATGGACCCCCCTGGACCCCCGTGGGTGACATGGACCCCCCTGGACCCCCGTGAGTGGCATGGACCCCCGTGGGAGACCTGGACCCCCGTGGGTGACATGGACCCCCTGGACCCCCGTGGGTGACATGGACCCCCTGGACCCCCGTGGGTGACATGGACCCCCTGGACCCCCGTGGCGGACATGGACCCCCTGGACCCCCGTGGGTGACATGGACCCCCTGGACCCCCGTGGGTGACATGGACCCCCTGGACCCCCGTGGGTGACATGGACCCCCTGGACCCCCGTGGGTGACATGGACCCCCTGGACCCCCGTGGGTGACATGGACCCCCTGGACCCCCGTGGGTGACATGGACCCCCTGGACCCCCGTGGGTGACATGGACCCCCTGGACCCCCGTGGGTGACATGGACCCCCGTGGGTGACATGGACCCCCCCTGGACCCCCGTGGGTGACATGGACCCCTGGACCCCCGTGGGTGACATGGACCCCCTGGACCCCCGTGGGTGACATGGACCCCCGTGGGTGATATGGACCCCCCTGGATCCCCGTGGGTGACATGGACCCCCGTGGTTGACATAGACCCCCTGGACCCCCGTGGGTGACATGGACCCCACGCGTCCCAAACCCCAGTGGGTCAGTTAACGACCGTAAAGTTATGTAAACACTACGCAGCAGTTTACAAAAATGTACACACACACACACACACACACACACACACACACACACACACACACACACACACACACACACACACACACACACACACACACACACACACACACACACACACACACACACACACAGGTCGTGAGAGGTAACCAGATATCACCTTGACAAAGAGTGATGCAACAGTTATTCAATATACCAAGAGTGGGGAAATACCTCGAAATAGCAGCTGCATTTCTCACACTGACTACGATAACACCCCCCTTCCCCTACACGTCCATTCATACCCAACACACATACACACACACACCTATACACCTATGTTAAGTTGGGTAAGTTCTAGCTTCTGGAAATACCTGGGTAAGTACTGGTTTGGCAATAAGGTGGTTGATTTGTCAAATAGACGCGGGTTACATGGTGCAGACGTGGGGTTATTTGATTGTTTCAAGCGTAGGCTACACGTGTGTACGAATGAGTTTGGGTAGATATGAAAAGGAGCGGTGGCTCGTATGGATCCATTTTCCATCTGCAGTTTCCATAATTGTTATGTTATTATATCCTTAGTATAGCCAGCCACGTAGCCCACTGCGCACAATCACGGACTACGACGCAGATTTGAAATAGGATTTTTTGATGGCCTGTTTTCAGCGAACAACACAATCTGATAAGCGAGTTATTAGGTAATTCGTTTTGTTGTTTACTCTGTAGTGTGTGTGTGTACTCACCTAGTTGTGCTTGCGGGGGTTGAGCTCTGGCTCTTTGGTCCCGCCTCTCAACCGTCAATCAACAGGTGTACAGATTCCTGAGCCTACTGGGCTCTATCATATCTACACTTGAAACTGTGTATGGAGTCAGCCTCCACCACATCACTTCCTAATGCATTCCATTTGTCAACCACTCTGACACTAAAAAAGTTCTTTCTAATATCTCTGTGGCTCATTTGGGCACTCAGTTTCCACCTGTGTCCCCTTGTGCGTGTTCCCCATGTGTTAAATAGACTGTCTTTATCTACCCTATCAATTCCCTTCAGAATCTTGAATGTGGTGATCATGTCCCCCCTAACTCTTCTGTCTTCCAGCGAAGTGAGGTTTAATTCCCGTAGTCTCTCCTCGTAGCTCATACCTCTCAGCTCGGGTACTAGTCTGGTGGCAAACCTTTGAACCTTTTCCAGTTTAGTCTTATCCTTGACTAGATATGGACTCCATGATGGGGCTGCATACTCCAGGATTGGCCTGATACTCCAGGATTGGCTTCTGTGTGTGTGTGTACCCATCTATTTGTGTCTGCAGGATCGAGCGTTGACTCTTGGTTCCCGCCTGTTGAGCATCGGTTGTTTTGTGTGTGCGTGTGAGAGAGATAAATAGGAAATTATCAGGGAAAAACGCCAAACCATTACGACTATATAGCACTGGGAAGGGGTCAGGATGAGAATTTGGAAGAGAGAGAGAGAGAGAGAGAGAGAGAGAGAGAGAGAGAGAGAGAGAGAGAGAGAGAGAGAGCATGTAATACCCCCATACTAACAGGTTTATGAATATAACATCATAGTGAGATGGCGAGATAGCTGTAATCTGCTGTAACTTTGTACTCTGAAACGCACCTTTCCCTCCAAACGCACTATCACCTTTCTAGCTATCTTACCACATGGAAAATCATAGTTTTTTTTAACAGTGCTAAAAAATTACAATAAAATGTAATATATTAGTAATAATGAGAATAAATGTAATAAGTTAATAACTAATTTTATATATTTTTTATTACTTAAGCAGATAGGAGTTTATTGCAACATATTGTATTGTGTAGTGTTTTGTTGTTATATAAGTATTTATATAAATATTATGCAACATTGCAAATACTGGATCCATCTTTTGCATTTTTGGGGACACAGCCCTGGAAACACAAACCGAAACTGTCTCTATTTTCCGCTTGTTACAACTTTTAATAAAGTTGTTACATGTTGGCTTAACGTGTTTATGACGTATTAGAACGTTGTTACAACTTGCTATATTGATTGTTATAACTGGTTAGGAGGTGTTAAAACTTGTTTGAACGTTGTACCAACGTCGTAGTTTCGGTGTGTGTTTGGCGGGAGGCGTTCTCTCTGGAAATAATAGTAATATTGCGTTGTACAAAGCTGCCTCTGATTGCCACAAGAGGGCCGCGCAGTTCACTAATACCATCTGTATTAAAAATCACCTTAATATAGAACATGACTCCCTTAAAATCTTATCTCGGAAAAAAACACGGGTCTGATATCAAACTGAATTAAAAATATTATACTTCTAAGGCAACACTTCGACAGACTGTATTTGACCTTAATATTGGAAAAAACCCAAAACATGAAGCTGATATAGCAGACTTGTATTTTTAACTTATCTTGTATAAAATATTATTATTATTATTATTATTATTATTATTAACTATATCTACAAGAGTATATGTCTGTCCATGGTTGTTTACCAGAGGTTTGGGGCTAGCCTCGCCCAGTTTTGCATAATCATTGCTAAGGGGTAGGTGACCAACATGGACGTGTCGACCTCGTGACACAGCGGGCGCTATATAGTTTGATAACTACTTATCATGTAATCAAACTATAACAACAACACTTATAACTACTTCCCGGTTTGATACTTGCTTTTAAAAATTACTTTTAATGTTTTAATTCAGAAATAGAATGGTGTTAGATAAAAAATTGGTTAGTTAGGTGAACGCATGGAGGCCTCGTAGCCTGGTGGATAGCGCGCAGGACTCGTAATTCTGTGGCGCGGGTTCGATTCCCGCACGAGACAGAAACAAATGGGCAAAGTTTCTTTCACCCTGAATGCCCCTGTTACCTAGCAGTAAATAGGTACCTGGGTGTTAGTCAGCTGTCACGGGCTGCTCCCTGGGGGTGGAGGCCTGGTCGAGGACCGGGCCGCGGGGACACTAAAGCCCCGAAATCATCTCAAGATAACCTCAAGATATACCTTAGACCTCATTTAGACTATACAGTTCAGTTGTGGTCAGCTTATGGACATATGAACCTTAAGAAGCTAAATTTGCATCTTCTTAAAAGGCGATGGTTAAGGAGAGAGAGATACACATTATATCGAGGGAGGGAATTATCAGGGGAAAGCCCCAAGGCATTACGACTATATAGCACTGGGAAGGGGTCAGGATAAGGATTTGGGATGGGACGGGGGGAAGGAATGGTGCCCAACCACTTGTGGACGGTCGGGGATTGATTGCCGACCTGCATGAAGCGAGACCGTCGTTCTGCCGTCCACTCCAAGTGGTTAGAGAGAGAGAGACGATTAACATTAAACAAAATAATAATAATCAGATGTTAAATATATATATATCACCCCAAAAATGAACAAGAAATATTCGATACTGGATTCAGATATTTTCCAAACTGCTTTATTTTTTGTAAAGCAATTACGCCACAGAAACATGACTGGAAAGTAGACTCCCAACCCCCCCCCACACATGTGAAAATAAAGGAATTTACGACGATTCGGTCCCTTTTGGACCATTATGTTGACTAGACCACACACTAGAAGGTGAAGGGACGACGACGTTTCGTCGGTCCAACAGGAGATGTTGGACCATTATGTGACGACACACATTTCCGTCAGTCCTGATAATGGTTGATAATGACTTGATAATGTCAACTTGATAATGGTCCATGACGGACTGAAACTGCCTATATATATATTCCAGGATGTTTGGGGTTTAGTCTTGACTATTGCTTGCGTTATTGAGAGTAAATAGGCATGCAGGCGATGAGTCACAATAACGTGGCTAAAGTAAGTTGACCAGACCACACACTAGAAGGTGAAGGGACGACGACGACGACGTTTCGGTCCGTCCTGGACCATTCTCAAGTCGATTGTCTTGAGAATGGTCCAGGACGGACCGAAACGTCGTCGTTCCTTCACCTTCTAGTGTGTGGTTTGGTCAACTTAAATAGGCATGTTTAGCAACAGTTGCTTAACCAACATGATGTTTCGTTTGGGAAGATATTCATCTTCCACCAGGAGACGTTCATCTTTATACATCCCAGGAGATGTTCACCAACATCTAGGAGATGTTCACCAACATCCAGGAGAAGTTCACCAACATCCAGGAGATGTTCACCAACATCTAGGAGATGTTCACCAACATCTAGGAGATGTTCACCAGCACCCACAAGACGTTCACCAGCACCCACAAGATATTCACCAACACTCACCTGTGAACTTGAAGTAACGGTATTCATCGTGAGAGGCCGAGAGTCTCTCGACCGAAGGAGACTTGTTGAGCGCCATCCTTAGGCTCTGTTTGAGCTCGACCGAGGACACGCTCGCAGGTTTACCTGTAAAAGTGAAGGTTATACGTGAACAAGGTATAGCACACACACAAGCGGGACTAAAGAGCCAGAGCTCAACGCGTGCAAGCACAACTAGGTGAGTACACACACACACACACACACACACACACACACACACACACACACACACACACACACTCCGGTGGATAGAGGAGTACCTAAGCAACAGGAGACAACGAGTCAGTGTGAGGGGTGAGGTCTCAGATTGGCGAGACGTTACAAGTGGAGTCCCGCAGGGATCAGTCCTTGGACCTATATTGTTTCTGGTATATGTAAATGATCTCCCAGAGGGTATAGATTCGTTCCTCTCAATGTTTGCCGACGATGCAAAAATTATGAGGAGGATTGAAACAGCGGATGATAGTAGGAGGCTACAAGATGACCTAGATAGACTGAGTGAATGGTCCAACAAATGGCTGTTGAAGTTCAACCCGAGTAAATGCAAAGTAATGAAACTAGGCAGTGGAAACAGGAGGCCAGACACAGGATACAGAATAGGAGATGAAGTACTTAATGAAACAGACAGAGAGAAAGATCTAGGAGTTGATATCACACCAAACCTGTCTCCTGAAGCCCACATAAAGAGAATAACGTCTGCGGCATATGCGAGGCTGGCTAACATCAGAACGGCGTTCAGGAACCTGTGTAAGGAATCATTCAGAATCTTGTACACCACATATGTAAGACCAATCCTGGAGTATGCGGCCCCAGCATGGAGCCCGTACCTTGTCAAGCACAAGACGAAGCTGGAAAAAGTCCAAAGGTATGCTACTAGACTAGTCCGAGAACTAAGAGGCATGAGTTATGAGGAAAGGCTGCGGGAAATGCACCTTACGACACTGGAAGACAGAAGAGTAAGGGAGGACATGATCACAACCTACAAAATCCTCAGGGGAATCGACCGGGTAAACAAGGATGAACTATTCAACACTGGAGGGACGCGAACAAGGGGACACAGGTGGAAGCTGAGTACCCAAATGAGCCGCAGAGACATTAGAAAGAACTTTTTCAGTGTCAGAGTAGTTAGTAAATGGAACGCACTAGGAAGTGATGTGGTGGAGGCTGACTCCATACACAGTTTCAAATGTAGATATGATAGAGCCCAGTAGGCTCAGGAATCTGTACACCTGTTGAGTGACAGTTGAGAGGCGGGACCAAAGAGCCAGAGCTCAACCCCCGCAAGCACAATTAAGCGAGTACAATTAGGTGAGTACACACACACACACACACACACACACACACACACACACACACACACACACACACACACACACACACACACACACACACACACACACACACTACTAAACGTTCACCAACCGACTGTTGGTGAACAGTCAGACAGGCTACAGAGAGTGACAGTGAGGGGCGAGGAGTCTGGCTGGCGTAGAGTAACAAACGGGGTGCCTCAAGGATCGGTGCTGGGACCCATTCTATTTCTTATTTATGTAAACAACTTGACTGCAGGAGTTGAGTCTTATATGTCAACGGTAGCAGTTGATGCAAAACTAATGAGGAGGGTTGAGACAGATGAGGATTTAAGATTCTCCAGGATGACTTGATAAGGTTGCAGAGATGGTTCAAGAAATGGCTGCTAGAGTTTAACACCAGCAAGTGTAAGGTGATGGAAATCAGATCACGACCCAGGAGACCGAAAGTACCTCGTGGTTGGTAGGAAAGTAGGAAAAACTGCCTCCCTATAACAACTAGAGAAAGACCTGGGAGTGGACAAAGCTAACTCCAGAGGCTCATATAAATAGAATAACGTCAGCCGCATACTCTACTCTGGCAAGAGTCAGAACATCTAATGAGGCTTTTAGATCACTCTATACCACCTATGTGAGGCCAGTCTTAGAGTATGCCGACCCATCCTGGAGCCCCATCTTTTAGATCACTGTATACCACCTATGTGAGGCCAGTCTTAGAGTATGCCGACCCATCCTGGAGCCCCATCTTTTAGATCACTGTATACCATCTATGTGAGGCCAGTCTTAGAGTATGCCGACCCATCCTGGAGCCCCATCTTTTAGATCACTGTATACCATCTATGTGAGGCCAGTCTTAGTGTATGCCGACCCATCCTGGAGGCCCCCAGCTTAAAACACACATGAGAAAGCTCGAAAATGTGCAGAAGTTTTCAACGAGACTTGTCCCAGAGCTGTAAGGGATGAGGTACGAAGACAGACTGAAGGAACTAAACCTGACGACGTTAGAAAGGAGGAGGGACAGGAAGGGAAGGGACATGATACAGACGTATAAAATACTTAGAGAGATTGACAAGATGGAAACAGAAGAAATGTTTACAATGAACAACAACAGAACAAGGGGACACGGACGGAAGCGTGAGACTCAGATGTGTCATAGAGATGTTAGAAAGTTTTCTTTTAGCGTGAGGGAAGTGAGTAAATGGAATGACCTAAAGGAGCAGGTTGTGGAGGCTAACACCATTCATAACTTTAAAACCAGGTAAGATAGGGAGACAGGTCAGGAGTCATTGTATTAGACAACCAACGGCTTGACAACCGGGGTCCAAGACCTAGAGCTCGATCCTGCAGGCACAAATAGGTGAGTACACACACACAATCCAGGCACCCGGGTTCATTTCTCGACCTAAACGGAAACAATTGGGCAGAGTTTCATTCATCTGATGCCTCTTTTCATCTAGCAGTAAGTAGGTACCTGGGAGTTGGACAGCTGTCACGGGCCGCATCCTGGGAATGTGTGTGCGAGAGAATGGGAAATATATAATTGATATGATAGAAACAAATTGAGTGTTAATATATTTGGTAACCGACGGGTAGAAAGGCGGGACCCAAGAGCTAACATCTCGGTCCCATAGGCATAAGTAAGGTTATCTTGAGATGATTTCGGGGCTGAGCGTCCCCGCGGCCCGGTCCTCGACCAGGCCTCTTTTTTGTTCCATCTCCCCCCCTACCCGGGAAGCAGCTCGTAGCAGCTGTCTAACTCCCAGGTACCTATTTACTGCTAGGTAACAGGAGCATCAGGGTGAAAGAAACATTTTGCCCATTTGTCTCCGCCTCCACCGAGGATCGAACCCGGAACCTCAGGACTACGAATCCGAAGCGCTGTCCACCCATCTGTCAGGCGCCAAGTAGGTGAGAGTACTCACCTCTAGACAGGTTGAGTGTCAATATATTCGATAACCGACGGTTAGAAAGGCGGGACCCAAGAGCTAACTACACGATCCCGTAGGCACAGGTAGGTGAGAGTGTACACACTCACCTCGAGCAAGAGCCCAGTAGCGAAAGAGTGCAGCATCCTCTTGAGTGAAGGCACCAGAGCTCTGATGAGTCCACAGAATCCTGAAGATGCCCATCTCGCGGTCCACCCACTGGATGACCCGTCTGGCGGGGGCCTGGTCCAGGTTCTGACGGAGGAACTCCTCCAGGCGGAGCTTGCGGCGGGTCTTCATCGACAGGTCCATGGGCGTGTCGGTCACAGCCACGGGCGTCATGGTCCTCTGCAAGCACCAAAACGTATTTAGTGATGTGGGGTTGCATGGTGTGTGTTTCAAGCGTAGGTTAGACGTAAACATGAATGAGTTTGGGTGGGTATAAATAGGAGCTGCCTCGTATGGGCCAATAGGAGCTGCCTCGTATGGACCAATAGGAGCTGCCTCGTATGGGCCAATAGGAGCTGCCTCGTATGGACCAATAGGAGCTGCCTCGTATGGGCCAATAGGAGCTGCCTCGTATGGACCAATAGGAGCTGCCTCGTATGGACCACTAGGAGCTGCCTCGTATGGACCAATAGGAGCTGCCTCGTATGGGCCAATAGGAGCTGCCTCGTATGGGCCAATAGGAGCTGCCTCGTATGGACCAATAGGAGCTGCCTCGTATGGACCAATAGGACCTACCTGGCGTGGATCAATAGAAGCTGCCTCGTATGGGCCAATAGGAGCTGCCTCGTATGGGCCAATAGGAGCTGCCTCGTATGGGCCAATAGAAGCTGCCTCGTATGGGCCAATATGAGCTGCCTCGTATGGGCCAATAGGAGCTGCCTCGTATGGGCCAATAGGAGCTGCCTCGTATGGATCAATAGGAACTGCCTCGTATGGACCAATAGGAGCTGCCTCGTATGGACCAATAGGAGCTGCCTCGTATGGGCCAATAGGAGCTGCCTCGTATGGACCAATAGGAGCTGCCTCGTATGGATCAATAGGAGCTGCCTCGTATGGACCAATAGGAGCTGCCTCGTATGGATCAATAGGAGCTGCCTCGTATGGGCCAATAGGAGCTGCCTCGTATGGGCCAATAGGAGCTGCCTCGTATGGACCAATAGGAGCTGCCTCGTATGGACCAATAGGACCTACCTCGTGTGGACCAATAGGAGCTGCCTCGTATGGATCAATAGGAGCTGCCTCGTATGGACCAATAGGAGCTGCCTCGTATGGATCAATAGGAGCTGCCTCGTATGGATCAATAGGAGCTGCCTCGTATGGACCAATAGGAGCTGCCTCGTATGGATCAATAGGACCTACCTCGTATGGACCAATAGGACCTACCTCGTATGGACCAATAGGACCTACCTCGTATGGACCAATAGGAGCTGCCTCGTGTGGACCAATAGGACCTACCTCGTATGGACCAATAGGAGCTGCCTCGTGTGGACCAATAGGACCTACCTCGTATGGACCAATAGGAGCTGCCTCGTGTGGACCAATAGGACCTACCTCGTATGGACCAATAGCAGCTGCCTCGTATGGACCAATAGGAGCTGCCTCGTGTGGACCAATAGCACCTACCTCGTGTGGATCAATAAAAGCTTCTTCGTATGAACCAACAGGAGCTATACCTCGCACGAACCAATAGACTTTCTGCAGTTAACTTATATAAATCCACTTACATGTCCCACACAAGCGCCGTGGAGTTAACGCACTTCAGCTGCCAACGCGGTATCGAAAGGTCTGCTATCTAGCGATGTCTGGTCTTATATATACACACGCCCGGATCTTGACTGTTATCTCAGGGATAGCGCCTCGCTCCTCGACGCCGGTGCCACACTGACGCAATAATTACGTTCAAAGTCTTGCACGATTATTTAGATCCGATCATGAGGCTGTTATCGTGGTGCCTGGGGTTTACCTGTAGGTGATTTCGAGTTTCTTTATTTCCAAAGCCCGGCTTGGGGCCCAGGCTTATCTTGGGATTATTTGGTTTATAAGGCTCTTGCATGAAGCGGGCCGCAGCGAAAAGGGTCTAAAACCTGTATTGACTCGCTATATAATACCCAATATAATATAAACACAATATATCTTTTATTATCGCTACGTCGGGTTAAGATACGTTGGATTCGGTTGGGTTGGGTTCGCTTGGATTGGGTTAGGTCGGGATAGATTACGTTAGCTTGGTTTGATTTGATTCGGTTAGGATGGATTGGGTTAGGCTGGTTTGGGCTAGGTCGGGTTTGGTCAGGTTGGATTGGGTTAGGTCGGATTGGATTGGATTAGGTCAGGTTGGGTTAGGCTATGTTGGGTTGGATTAGGTTAGATTATGTTGGATTACGTTAGAGCGGTTTGGGTCAGGTTCGGTTAGGTTGTGTTGGGTTAGAGTGGGTTGGCTTCCGTTAGGTGTTGGATTGGCTTAGGTTAGGTTAGGTGTTGGATTGACTTAGGTTAGGTTAGGTTAGGTGTTGGATTGACTTAGGTTAGGTTAGGTTAGGTTAGGTGTTGGATTGACTTAGGTTAGGTTAGGTGTTGGATTGGCTTAGGTTAGGTTAGGTTAGGTTAGGTGTTGGATTGACTTAGGTTAGGTTAGGTTAGGTTAGGTGTTGGATTGGCTTAGGTTAGGTTAGGTTAGGTTAGGTTAGGTGTTGGATTGACTTAGGTTAGGTTAGGTTAGGTTAGGTTAGGTGTTGGATTGACTTAGGTTAGGTTAGGTGTTGGATTGACTTAGGTTAGGTTAGGTTAGGTGTTGGATTGACTTAGGTTAGGTTAGGTTAGGTTAGGTTAGGTTAGGTGTTGGATTGACTTTGGTTAGGTTAGGTTAGGTTAGGTGTTGGATTGACTTAGGTTAGGTTAGGTTAGGTGTTGGATTGACTTAGGTTAGGTTAGGTTAGGTTAGGTTAGGTGTTGGATTGACTTTGGTTAGGTTAGGTTAGGTTAGGTGTTGGATTGACTTAGGTTAGGTTAGGTTAGGTGTTGGATTGACTTAGGTTAGGTTGGGTCTCAGTAAGTCCATTCTTTCACTCAATTTAAATAAAACAATCAGAAATTTCCCGTCAATGTTCCCACTACTTCTGCTCCATTTCAATATGTTTACAACATGCACAACATTCTCATACAGTTTTATGTGCTAATAATCTACACCTGTACACCTGTTCACTCTAGTCACAGGTGTACACCTGTTCACTCCACCCACACCTGTACACCTGTTCACTCCACCCACATCTGTACACACCTGTTCACTCCACCCACACCTGTACACCTGTTCACTCCAGTCACAGGTGTACACCTCTTCACTCCAGTCACAGGTGTGCACCTGTTCACTCCACCCACACCTGTACACCTGTTCACTCCACCCACACCTGTACACCTGCTCACTCCACCCACATCTGTACACACCTGTTCACTCCACCCACACCTGTACACCTGTTCACTCCACCCACACCTGTACACACCTGTTCACTCCACCCACACCTGTACACCTGTTCACTCCACCCACATCTGTACACACCTGTTCACTCCACCCACATCTGTACACACCTGTTCACTTCACCCACACCTGTACACCTGTTCACTCCACCCACACCTGTACACACCTGTTCACTCCACCCACACCTGTACACCTGTTCACTCCACCCACATCTGTACACACCTGTTCACTCCACCCACACCTGTACACCTGTTCACTCCAGTCACACCTGTAATGATTTGTATAAATAACTTACAAATAAAGTTTCTAAATTTAAATCACTTACGATCAAAGTTTAAGTCTAAAATTCTTACGACTGAAGTGCTTAAATCTAATTCTCTTACGAATACTTTCTAAATCTAATTCACACAGGCCGTAGAGGCCACGGGCCAGATTCACGAAGCAGTTACGCAAGCACTTGACATCTTTTCTCAATCTTTGGCGGCTTTGTTTACACTTATTAAACAGTTAATGAGCTCCGAAGCACCAGGAAGCTGTTTATAACAATAACAACAGTTAATTGGCAAGTTTTCATGTTTGTAAACTGTTTAATAAATGTAACCAAAGCCGTCAAAGATTGAGGAAAGATGTACACGTTCGTAAGTACTTGCGTAACTGCTTCGTGACTCTGGCCCCAGGTTCGCAAGTACTTGCATAACTGCTTCATGAATCTGGCCCCAGGTTCGTAAGTATTTGCGTAACTGCTTCGTGACTCTGGCCCTAGGTTCGTAAGTACTTGCATAACTGCTTCATGAATCTGGCCCCAGGTTCGTAAGTATTTGCGCAACTGCTTCGTGAATCTGGCCCCAGGTTCGTAAGTACTTGCGTAACTGCTTCGTGAATCTGGCCCCAGGTTCGTAAGTGCTGGCGTAACTGCTTCGTGAATCTGGCCTTAGCGCTCTCTAAAGCAACATAGAAACACTGGAACGTAAACGTAAAAATGTTATCAATGATTCAAACATTATTCTCTCCAAGGCTATCTTCTTATCGCAGCGACATCAAACACAATTTAACCTACAAATAACAAACATCTCAAAATATCCTGGGGGCAGGATTCGTCTATGGTATTTATCTCTACTTACGAAACCTGTTCAACTTTCAGCAATCATGGTGGGTTTGTTTACATTATTAAACAAGGGCCAAATTCACGAAGCAGTTACGCAAGCACTTACGAACGTGTACATCTTTCCTCAATCTTTGACGGCTTTGGTTACATTTATTAAACAGTTTACAAGCATGAAAACTTGCCAATCAACTGTTGTTATTGTTATAAACAGCCTCCTGGTGCTTCGGAGCTCATTAACTGTTTAATAATTGTAAACAAAGCCGCCAAAAATTGATAAAAGATGTACAGGTTCGTAAGTGCTTGCGTAATTGCTTTGTGAATCTGGCCCCTGGTTATGAACTCCGAAGCACTACGAGGTTGTTTATAACAATAACAACCTTGGGTTGTGAAGTTTCCCAGCTTGTAAACTGTTTAATATATGTAAACAAAGCCACAATGATTAAGGAAAGATGTACAGGTTTCGTAAGTGGAGATGCCATGAAACGTGGTCCTCTAGATACCCACAGGGAAGATCAGCTACCCACAGGGAAGGTCAACTACCCACAGGAAAGATCAGCTACCCACAGGGAAGATCAACTACCCACAAGGAAGATCAACTACCCCACAGGAAAGGTCAACTACCCAGAAGTAAACTAACACTCCTTCGCAATACCTACCCTAACGACCAACATACCCAATCAGGAAACCAGGGAGTAGAGTTATCAATGCGATAACAAAAGAACATCGGCGGCGTGTCAAGGGTATTGACAAAGTAGCATCGTAAATAGGGGCAAGATATCACCACAGGGCATGCCGCCTCCTCCAAGGTCTCTCAACATGGTGGCATTCCAATAGATGACTCGAAAGTTCTTACTTATTTCCCCTGTTGATATTTTTGTTATTCTCTATAGTCATACCTTTAACACTATTATGAGTACTGGTATTTACGGTTATCTCAAGTCTTAGTATTTGTTCTCCAACGTGATTGGCTACACCTAAAACCCAAAGATTATGGTTAAATACACATTCAACGTGATTGGCTACACCCAAGACCCAGACATTAAATACACATTCAACGTGATTGGCTACACCTAAGACCCAAACATTAATTACACATTCAACGTGATTGGCTACACCTAAGACCCAAACATTAAATACACATTCAACGTGATTGGCTACACCCAAGACCCAGACATTAAATACACATTCAACGTGATTGGCTACACCTAAGACCCAAACATTAAATACACATTCAACGTGATTGGCTACACCTAAGACCCAAACATTAAATACACATTCAACGTGATTGGCTACACCTAAGACCCAAACATTAAATACACATTCAACGTGATTGGCTACACCTAAGACCCAAACATTAAATACACATTCAACGTGATTGGCTACACCCAAGACCCAAACATTAAATACACATTCAACGTGATTGGCTACACCCAAGACCCAAACATTAAATACACATTCAACGTGATTGGCTACACCCAAGACCCAGACATTAAATACACATTCAACGTGATTGGCTACACCCAAGACCCAGACATTAAATACACATTCAACGTGATTGGCTACACCTAAGACCCAAACATTAAATACACATTCAACGTGATTGGCTACACCTAAGACCCAAACATTAAATACACATTCAACGTGATTGGCTACACCTAAGACCCAAACATTAAATACACATTCAACGTGATTGGCTACACCCAAGACCCAAACATTAACTACACATTCAAAGTGATTGGCTACACCCAAGACCCAAACATTAAGTACACATTCAACGTGATTGGCTACACCCAAGACCCAGACATTAAATACACATTCAACGTGATTGGCTACACCTAAGACCCAAACATTAAATACACATTCAACGTGATTGGCTACACCTAAGACCCAAACATTAAATATACATTCAACGTGATTGGCTACACCCAAGACCCAAACATTAAGTACACATTCAACGTGATTGGCTAAACCCAAGACCCAGACATTTTATACACATTCAACGTGATTGGCTACACCCAAGACCCAGACATTAAATACACATTCAACGTGATTGGCTACACCTAAGACCCAAACATTAAATACACATTCAACGTGATTGGCTACACCCAAGACCCAGACATTAAATACACATTCAACGTGATTGGCTACTCCCAAGACCCAGACATTAAATACACATTCAACGTGATTGGCTACACCCAAGACCCAAACATTAAACACACATTCAACGTGATTGGCTACACCCAAGACCCAAACATTAAACACACATTCAACGTGATTGGCTACACCCAAGACCCAGACATTAAATA